TGTGCCTCCAAATTAGCCCACGTGTTTGTAAAGTAATTGTTTTTTTTACAGATGTGTAACAATCGGATATTGTTATTTACGTCTGGGGACCGGGTGGTGAAGAAAGACGTGACTCAGTTTTGAACCGGGGTCGGCAGGAGTCAGTTTATAGGGAAAGAAAGAGAACTATTTTGGCCCTTACATCCTTTTGAGTACTTGGAAATTCATAAAAACTCAGATTTCGAACTACGAGTACATCAATGGCCTCAGCACTATGGGGCTCACAGAAGTACATCGCACATTGTAGAGGTGTTGTGGACGAGTGGATAAGTCGCCGGACTGTGGATCACAAGGTCTGTGGTTCAAGTTCCGCCGCAGCACTAATGTCCTTTGGCAAGACATTGATCTACATTTGCCACTCTCCACCCAGGTGTTAAATGGGTACCCGGTAGGATGCGAAAGCTAATGTGGTTAGATTAGCAAGTGTGCGCATGTAAAAATAACGCCTGGCTGAAATGCTCCCCAGGGAGTGGAGAATGTGCATACATTGTGTGCGGGTAAGCCTGAATCCAATGACCGGGGTAATAATATATTTATCTGTAAAGCGCTTTGTGAGGGCCTCTGGTCCTGAAAAGTGCTATATAATACCCTTTTCTAACTGCACTCTATCAAAGTCACACCGATGAAAATACCGATTGAATTTTCCTTATGTAAACAAAGGTGAAACCGCAGTTTTCCCCGTGTCGGTTTCTAACTGCCGGTGAAATTCACTCGCTGTGGCGAGTCCTTGCCGGAAGTGAAGAATTATTACGTAATTATTAAGCCCGCGCTCCATCTAGCTAGCATGCAGCATGTTCAACCATAAGTCAACAAACACAGCTGGTTACGATAAAGCGCGCGTACACTGCGACGTTTGACCATTTTAATCGCTGTTTTAATCGCCTTTTTCTCCCGAACGTTTTCTAACTGCACGTTTCATCGGTGTCACACCGATAGAATGAGAATTTCTCCTGCTCTTGAGCAGGAGAATTTAATCGCCTATTTCTCTTCTTTTCATCGGCTATTTAATCGCCTTTTTCTCCTCTGTTGCTTTCTAACTGCCACTTTCATCGGATGCGTCCGGATGCATCCGATGAAAATCGGTGCAGTTAGAAAAGGGTATTAGAACGAGCTATTATTATTAGTATTATTATTATTATCTAATCAAAACCATATCTCACACTATATACAATAAGCAATTATAACTCAGCATATCAATTATTGAAACCCTTATCTCAAACAACACCAAAACTACCAGCATACGTTCTTAGTTCATAACTTACTCTTGTGTGGCATATAACCTTGAACCCTATCTCAAACTTCTACACATTATGCCAGTATTTAAAACCTTATCTCAAACTTCTACACATAAACCCTTATCTGAAACTACTACATAAGACGCATTTATACTGTCGAATACCTCTTTTCCTAAAATCGTGATGTTTCGTGCACCCGTTTACACTTGTGCTGAAACATCACCGACTGCGAAGCTCAGTGATGTTTTGGTGTGTTTCAGTTGGTAATGCGCATACATGTACGCGGCACTCCGATGCAAAAACTGTTATTACTATTCAGTTATATTCTTTATCATTTTTTCTTTCTGTCTTTCCATATGTTATTCTTTGTTTCTTCCTTCTTTTACCTTCTTTTATGTTATTCTTTGTTTTTTATTATTCTTTGTTTTTTTCATTTTATCACCTTATCTCTTATGTTATTCTTTGTTTTTATCATTCTATCACTTTCTCTTTCTGTCTTTTCTCATGTTATTCTTTGTTTCTTCCTTCTTTCACTTTCTCTTTCTGTCTTTCCTCATGTTATTCTTTGTTTCTTCCTTCCCAAGATGAAAATCCAATTGAATCCCCACTGAATGTCCCCATTGAATACCAATTGGCAATTGGTCCCCATTGAAACCAATTGGCAACTGGTCCCCATTGAAACCAACTGGCAATTGGTTTTAATGGGGACCAATTGCCAATTGGTTTCAATAGGTACCCATTGTTTCACTTTCCATGTACTGTACTCCAAATTGCCAATTGGTATTCAATTGGGATTCAATGGGGATTCAATTGGTAAATCGATCCACTTAGAAGAACCAGTGATAAACTGATAATTAATAATCAATATTGGCAACTGTCCACCAATTAGGTATATTCTAATCTCAATTGCATTAACTTCATCACATAGATCATTTAAACTGAATTCAAGAGTAACATTTACAGTGACACAGGCTCGTACACATATATATACTAAATATGCCCATTGTTTCTTGGTTAGTAATTATATAATCAATATAATTATCTATTGCTAAAACGTGAATGTAATTGTAACATGATCAGACAAAATAATCTATTGGTTAATAATAATTCCCTTAGGAAAATAGAAATCACAAAATTGATGTGCATTGTCATAATTTGCTTTTAAAAATCATGATAAATGTATTTTCTGTGACACGTGTAAAGGAATAATGAATATGCATGAGATACTGTTGGTTTCTTATTGGTTTCTATTGGTCCAATTGGTTTCTATTGGTCCAATTGGTTTCTATGTCCTATTGGTTTCTATTGGTTTCAATTGGTTTCAATTGGCCCTATTAGACTTTAATGGGATTTCAATTGGACCAATCGGCCCCATTGACTTTAAAAGGTTTTCAATTGGTTTCAATTGGGCCAATTGAAGTCCAACTTAAGGTCAATTGGTCCAATTGAAACCAATTGGGGTCCCATTAAAGTCTAATGGGGCCTAGGCCAATGGGTTCAATGGGTCCAATTGGTCCAATAGGGCCAATCTGGACCAATTGAAACCATCTGAAGTCCTATTAAAGGCCCATTGAAATCTGTTAAAACCTATTGAGACCAATTAAAACCAATTGGAACCAATTGAAACCAATTGAAAATTCAATTGGATTTTCGTCTTGGGAATTCTATCACCTTCTCTTTCTGTCTTTCCTTATGTTATTCTTTATTTCTTCCTTCTATTACTTTCTCTTTCTGTCTTTCCTTATGTTATTCTTTGTTTCTTCCTTCTATCACCTTCTCTCTCTGTCTTTCCTTATGTTATTCTTTATTTCTTCCTTCTATCACTTTCTCTTTCTGTCTTTCCTTATGTTATTCTTTGTTTCTTCCTTCTATCACCTTCTCTTTCTGTCTTTCCTTATGTTATTCTTTATTTCTTCCTTCTATCACTTTCTCTTTCTGTCTTTCCTTATGTTATTCTTTGTTTCTTCCTTCTATCACCTTCTCTTTCTGTCTTTCCTTATGTTATTCTTTATTTCTTCCTTCTATCACTTTCTCTTTCTGTCTTTCCTTATGTTATTCTTTCTTTTTTTTCCTTCTATCAATTTTTCTTTCTTTCTTCCCTTATGTTATTCTTTATTTCTTCCTTCTATCACTCTCTCTTTCTGTCTTTCCTTATGTTATTCTTTATTTCTTCCTTCTATCACTTTCTCTTTCTGTCTTTCCTTATGTTATTCTTTCTTTTTTTCCTTCTATCAATTTTTCTTTCTTTCTTCCCTTATGTTATTCTTTATTTCTTCCTTCTATCACTCTCTCTTTCTGTCTTTCCTTGTGTTATTCTTTGTTTCTTCCTTCTATCACCTTCTCTTTCTGTCTTTCCATCACCTTCTCTTTCTGTCTTTCCTTATGTTATTCTTTATTTTTTCCTTCTATCACTTTCTCTTTCTGTCTTTCCTTATGTTATTCTTTGTTTCTTCCTTCTATCACTTTCTCTTTCTGTCTTTCCTTATGTTATTCTTTGTTTCTTCCTTCTATCACCTTCTCTTTCTGTCTTTCCTTATGTTATTCTTTATTTTTTCCTTCTATCACTTTCTCTTTCTGTCTTTCCTTATGTTATTCTTTGTTTCTTCCTTCTATCACCTTCTCACTACTACATGAATGCAATTATTTAAACCATTATCTCAAACTACATACTGTACATGAATGGAATTATTTAAAACCTTATCTCAAACTACACAGAAACTACTGGCATGTATTCTGAGTGCATGAGCTACTTCTGTGGGGCGTGTTTTCTTGAACCATATCTGAAACTACTTTACATACATGTATGTAATTATTTAAAACCTTATCTCAAACTACTACATATATGCTTTTATTTAAACCCTTATCACAAACTTCACAAAAGCAATTATTTAAACCCTTATCTCAAACTATGCATATGCACTTATTTCAAACCTTATCTCAAACTACACATATTTAAACCCTTATCTCAAAATACATTATGCAACTATTCAAAACCTTGTTGCATATAGGCATTTCATTTGGTGCTTTGAGGCTTTGACACTTTAATGTACAGTGTATGCATGTTATTTAAACTCTTATCTCAAACTACACATATGCAATTATTAACCCCTGTTTCCTATAGGCATTTCTCAAACTACACGTATGCAATTATTTAACCCCTGTTTCCTATGGGCATTTCTCAAACTACACGTATGCAGTTATTTAAAGGTAAAGACCAGTTATGGTCATGCGATTGAATTGTGAAAGAAACGTTGTGGAATCGATCAGAAAAGGTTGATCATCTAGCATCTAGCATCTGCAAGGTTCTGGAATCATCAAAATGATAAGAAATTTGGCCCATTCTTCGTAAAGTTACAAGCACTATACACAGAAAGATGTATATGGGACTACCCTATATCTCTCACAGACCATGAGAGAAACAAATTTACCAAATATATGAATTAGTAGGCGGTTTCCCGGCAAATTTGTTATCATCATGTATTAGTCAAAACATATTCTTTCACGTGATTGGTAATGAGAGCTTCCATTTCATTTTTTGAAATTGGGGCGTTTCCAATACTGGTCTTTACCTTGAACCCCTGTTTCCTAAAGGCATTTCATTTGGGGCTTTGATGCTTTGACACTTACATGTACAGTGTATGCATGTTATTTAAACCCTTATCTCATACTACACGTATACCATACTACACGTATACATGCAATTATTTTAACCCTTGTTTTCTATAGGCATTTCATTTGGAGCGTTGGTGCTGTCTGGACACAATGAAGGTCACCATGTCAGCAGAATGTAGAGCACACAATCACTGAACCGTCAGATGAACTACCAGATATTACTACTGTACTTTATATCCCAGCTTTGAATTGAAAAGAATAATCGCTCTGCATCGTATAAGGTAAGAATGCAAATCCATTGTGATATTGTTCACTCTTTCAGCCATAGAAAAATCTTTACTTATGAAATTTTTAGGGTCAGGCAGGACCAAGTTTTGGTGTGTATAAGGTAAGAATGCAAATCAATTGTAATTGTTCCTTCTTTCAGCCATAGAAAAATCTTTATTTATGAAATTTTTAGGGTCAGGCAGGACCAAGTTTTGGTGTGACTGTGGCCCGAGGGCCTGTAAAGTGTCGAGCCCTTTGATATGGTTTGAATTGAATCCTTCTTAATTTCAGCCATTACATGCCTGTCTTCATCAGCTTGAGTTTGCCAAATAAAATGCTATTTTATCCAGATTGCAAATAAACCAGTAAATCTGCGTCCACTCTTCATCCGCCAGCAATTGCAATTAGAGGGATATTTGGTGAAGAAAATATCCAGAGCAATATTGGTCTTGTTTCCAAATATCCTGATATTTGGGAAATAGCGGGCTAATTTGTGCCCGTCCGAGCTAGTTTGTGATAGGCGTATCGGTCTGGTGAATTCGATGCATTTTCGAGCTTTGGGGTAATATCCCAAGTCTGAAAATAGTGGGTTATTTGGCAAACTCGAGCTGATGAAGACAGGCCTTATGTGTCTCTTTGTTTTTTTAATTTCCTGAGTGCATAACTAGTTAGGAGAAGAAAAAATGCATGATGTACAGTTGTACAAGGATTATCTTGATTTTGAAATACTTCATCTAGTTTATACAGCAGGCTTGCGATCGCACCATGTGAGAGGAGGGAGGATTGGGATTTCTGATCAAGTTTCTTTATCATGGCAACAAAAAGATTTCATTCTCTCCATGGAATCCCTCCAATATTATTATTTTTTGCGGACAATCTACATTGTAAGTAACGTAAGCTTACAGATATCGTCGCTGTTTTCACGAAGTGACGGTAGTGAAAAAAAATTGCATTCACTTTGCGTTACAATTTTCCTCACTACCGTCACTTCGTGAAAACAGCGACGATATGTAGGGCGATAGGAAATGGCATATAATCTCTCCTGATTCACTTTGGTGGGTTAGGCTGTCTGCATCATCAGTCGTCATGGCAACCAACACGTCAAGGAGATGTCAAGAGTCGTCTCATCGGTGCTCCTTGGATATTTAGATGTATACATTACATGCAAATCCATTTAATTTGTTCTACAATATCCTGTGCGCCGAGGTGTGCAGCATGAGACTTATCTATTGTAAGTCTTTTTTGAAGTTCTTATGGTGTAAAATGGAAGTACACTGTACATGTACATGTACTTGTGTACTTGTGATCACAAGGACTGCTCTGCGAGGGGAAGGGGTGAGTGGAGGGGAGAGGGGGGGGGGGGGCAAAACCATCATAAAAGTATGACAGGAATAAACTTTTTTCTCAACATTTGAATTTGATTATTACTCATACATTTGTTTTAAAATGATAACAGTATGACAGGAATGAACTTTTTTCCACAACATTTGGACTTGCTTTTATTACTTACAGATTTGTTTTTAAATGATTTGATAAACAGGAGGTGTTATTACATGCATGAAAAAGATGGTTGGTAGAAGCTTAAAGGTAATACAAAGTTTTGGGAAATTTTGAAATTGGGTGGATAGTGAATCTTTACAATTTTGATATATTTGGATGCCCCTGTGGATGTATTATAAGCACTAAAAAAATTAACCCCTAATACACTTTTGTTTTTGAGAAAAATGAATATCAAAATTTACCGGTGCTCCCGGTAAATTTTGATAAATTTCAAATAGCGCCTACGGCTGTTCAATGATTGCTGCGACCAAGGAAATCTCAGAATATGTATAGTTGTGATATATATTTTCCAAATGGGAATAGCTAATCGGTCGATTTTAGTCAAGAAACAATGTTTCATAGCTAAATTGATATCTTGACCTTGAGAGGGAGCTATGCAACATAAAGAGTTTATTATTTATAATTTCATAACTTTAGACTCAATTTCAACATGGAAAACGATCAATGAATATTGTAGGAACGCATATGCTTCCAATATGTTAATTTGAACCAATTCATGACCCCATACCAAAACTTTGTAATACCTTTAAACAAACTACACGTTATCATTATCCCCAACCGATAAGAGTTTTCTGTATTAAGAGGGCTATTAGTTTTACAAGTGTAATCTGTTGCCACAGGTGCTGCATATTTTTTCAATATTATGATTATTAGTCCCTGTATGTAGCTTGCAAAATGTAGCAGAAGTGAAGATACATTTAAAATCTTTCATGAACACTCATACAATTTATTGCTATCTAATCGCAATCAAGCTTATAAAGTGAATTCACTCTGATTTCTATTTTTAGTTTGAATTTTGATAAAAGGCATCCCTCGTATGTGTGTCTTAAATCTACTTTAAGGTCATGCAATAACTGCTACCAAAAATAAACAATTTTTATCTGAAATTTGTAATAATTGATGAATAATTGATTTTAGATCTTGGCTGTGACTTGTTCTATTTATATGGCATTGATTGTCGTCAACATTTTCTAGAATCTATTTAAGTTAGTATTGTCTGTTGGGAGCCAGGAGAGTACAAATAATCACATAATTCCTCTGGCTCTCAACAGAGAGATTAAATTATAATTTACATTTTTATGTTATTTATGTAATTTGAAATTTGTCTGTGATTTGTCAATTCAGTTCAATGACAGTTTGGGTAATCTTTTCCTAAATTTTCTTTTATTTTATTTATTTATTTATTTATTTATTTATTCATTGAAACATTTATACAGGATAAAAACATGATCAGCAAATCTGTTTTTCATTTATTTTTATTTCTATTTTTTAGATGATTAAGAGGAATGTGATGGCAATACTATTCAGCTGTTCTGAAATATCTGTTCTCCTCTAGTGAAATATTAAAGCCCCTCTGCACTAGTTTGGCATGGATGGATTAGACCTCCCTGCAAGGTCACTGGCAGGTGTTTATCTCATCAAATCAGCTCTCAATTAACATACGAAAAAGGGCATCATGGGGGATCAATAGGTACCGATTAGGCATTGTTGGCTGTATGGAGGGCGCAAGTAGCTATAAGTAGTGCAGTGGGGCTTTAAACAAGTGAGAGGTAGAAACGATTTAGATTGTGGCTCTGGGTACTATGATCATACTGACCCATTATTTTTTCAAATTGAGAACTCTGAAGTCAGTAATACTGATATTCATCTTATGCAAAGTGCAGTGTTCATGTACCGACTTAATAAAAAAGAACTGCCTTTATCATTTTCTTAACGATTTTACTCTAAATAGAGACATTCACAACTACCCAACCAGACATTCTTCTGATTTCCATTTGTTTACACCATGGAGCGCCTTAGCCCAAAGATCAATTAGATATGTAGGTCCTGACATTTGGAACGCTTTGCCACCTGAAATACGAGCTTGTAAAACCATTATGTTATTTAAAAAGAAAATGAAGGAAATATTTCTGTTAAAATATAATCGTTAACTTTTGAGGTACATGTTGTATAGTGCTAAATGTGTCAAGAAGAGATAATGTGTATTTCATTGTTTTTGCTTGTTATTCAAATACGTTAAGGGGCATGATTTTTGTATTTTGTTTTATTTTTGTAACGAATGTCTTATTTTAAGCCATGTTCTATTTTTACCTAATAATTATCAACTATGTTTAATACTTAGGGACGTTGCGCTTCAAACATTTTTTGTTGATGCATTGTTCCTACTATGTATTATATATCAATGTAACCCACTGTATTCTATTATCTGTAAACAGTTATTTTACATGGTGAATAAATAAAACAAACAAACAAACAAACAAATACCCAGGCACGCAAGCACGTACGCATGCAAGCTGGGATGTAGATTCTAAAAATGACAACCTGCACAACACATGTGTGAAACCATTGAGGACTGTGTGTTCATTGTTTAACTGTTCATATGGTCTTCACACATGCTGTGATTGTGTCCAATCACATTGCTGAAAATTAAAAAATGTGCCGGGAGTCATTGACATTAGGCCTGTTTTCATCAGCTCGAGTTTGGCAAATAACCCGCTATTTTCAGACTCGGGATATTATTCCGAATCTCAAAATTGCGACTTCACCAGACCGATTCGCTTATATCACAAACTAGCTCGGACGGGCGCATTCAGCAAATTAGCCGGCTATTTCCTAAATACTTTGATATTTTGGAAACAAGACCAACATTTATCAGAATATTTTTTCGGCCAAATATCCCGCTAATTGCAACTGCGAGCTGATGAAGACGCAAATTATCTGGATAATTTGCCATCGGGATAGAATAAAAAAGCGGGTTATGTGGCAAACTCGAGCCGATGAAAACATGCCTATTGGGGTAAAAGGGTCCTAGTGTAGGGTAATGTATACCTCTTTATCTAGCAGTCTTTTCTACGTTTTCCTAAACTTTATCTTAATCCATTTATCTCTCTCAAACCTCAAGCCAAAACTCCTTACATACGTACTAGGTACATTAAACACACCTCTACACTGTCAAAAATTATTGGGTATAGCTTGTCTGATGACCCCCCCCCCCCCCCCCCCCCCCCCCCGGGCCCCTTTTTATTTCACGTGACCGTCAAATGAACTTTCCAAATACATATGTACACCAGTTATATTATCAGAATGCTATACATACTGTATACCAGTTATTATGCAATAAATAGGTATAGGGTTAAAAAATGTTTAAAAAACACACAGAGATAAAATTCAGTGAACAAAAACTCTGGAAAAACCTTCTGATCCACTTTTGCAAAATAAACATTACACAAATTTACACAGAATGCACATGAAACCTTGTCTACCACACATGCAACCCATTCCTAATCCCTAGCCTGCATACCGGTAAGAACTTCTTACTCCTATAATATACAAAATACAAGGGGGATTTAAAACTTCTACACAGAATCGTGAAATTCATTATCTATGCTAATTTATGCAAATTTATTTGAAATCACAAAAATTGCTTCTTCTCCCGCATTTCTTGACCGATTTTGATTTGGTTTGCCTTATCTGGTAGAGCTAAATTTGGAACACTAAACTCCTACACAGAATTTTGAGATTTTGCTCCATTGATTGATTATGGTAATTTATGCAAATTTATTCTAAAAATAATTTAAAAATCACAAAAAAGCTTTTTCTCCTTCATATTTTGACCGATTTTGATTTGGTTTGCTTTATATCGTAGAGCTAACTTTGGTACACTAAATTTTACTCAGAATTTTGAAATTGTTCTCCATTAATTATGGTAATTTATGCAAATTTATTCCAAAAATAACAAAAAATGGTTCTTCTCCCTCATTTCTTGACCGATTTCGATTTGATTTGCTTTATCTGGTAGAGCTAAATTTGGTTTACTAAAAGTTTACACAGAATTTTGAGATTTTGCTCCATTGATTAATTATGGCAATTTATTCAAATTTATTCCAAAAAATTCCAAAAATAACAAAAAATGCTTCTTCTCCTTCATTTCATTTTTAAAGTTTTGTGCAAAATATGAGGATGATTATTTGCAAATTTGATCCCTCACAGAAAACACTAGATTTGTGGATTAAAAAGAGGAGAAAAGAGAGGTTCCCTTCCAGGGCATCAAATTTTTATTTTTTGACCAGTTCAAAAGTGTACCACATAAAATTTACGATATTTGTTATTTCGAGATGTGGATGAGCGCTACGTCATTTACATTCTGGTCTAGTTTTCATTTCACTATCTTATGGATGCACATGTTGTAGTGTAGTAGTGGTGGTTAATTTACCTGACTGCTAAGAAAGCATATACATGTAAAAGGCATGTTAGTAAGCAACCACAGGAAAGATAGTTTTAGGTCCTCTCCGAGAGACCTGGCAATGAGGATTAATGCCTTACCAAAGGGCACTAGCGCATCGCTTTGGTTTCGAACCCTAGTCGCCGGATTACGAGACCACTGCTCTTCCAACCGAGCTACATGTACCGTGCCTCCCTGTGTTTATTCACATTCGACTTGCTCAATTTTTGTTATAATCTTTAATCAACCTTCTAATGATTAAATGAATGTGCCTATTCTATGCAAGCTCAGTAATTGATCTTAATTGATGCTGGTTGAGCATTCATTTTTCTTTAATATGAAAATAGATGTTTTATTATTTTATTTTATGGACGGTTTGTATAAACAAATTTAACAATGAAGACTTTCCACCTTTTTTTTTAATGAGCATATTTGCAAATTGAGTTGTATCGACTTGTACTTACAAACCCTCGCTCCAATGCAGACCCATTTCGATTGACATTTCATGTGGCTGGTAGTAAGGCAGGAGATCGCACATTCACTGTTGCAGCAGCTAAGAAATGGAATAACTTCCTTCCAGTATAAAAGCTGCTCCATCAGTGGATGTATTTAAGAAACACATTAAAACCTACTTATTTCCTACTTGATTCGCTATTATTATTTTTTTTCTTCTCAATGTTATGTTAAGATTTGTGGTTATATTGTTATTGTAAGCGCTGTGATATAGTGTACTATGAATAGCGTAGCTAAATAAATGCCTAATAATAATAATGATAAAAATAATAATAATGATAAAAATAATAATTTTTTGCTCAATGTGTACCCCCCCCCCCCAACAAACAATAATATAATGCTACTGGAAATCTTTTTCGTTATGTTTTTCAGACTTGAGGCATTGACACCATGTCGGTCCCTGACTCTGCCAGTGCGGACTGCCCTGATCTCATTTGCGTGGTGTGCGGGGACAAAGCCAACGGCATGCACTACCGGGCCTTGACCTGCGAGGGGTGTAAGACCTTCTTCCGGAGGAACGCGCGCCATCGGGACACCCTCAAATGCGAGATGATGAACGACGGAGGCTGTGAGATGGACATGTATACCAGGAGACACTGTGCTGCATGTAGGATGCAGAAGTGTATCTCCGTCGGCATGCAGCCCGATAGTAAGTCCTATTCTTTGGTTCATAAACACCTCTTATTAGGCCTGTCCTCATCAGCTCTATCTACATGTATATGTATCTATCAGGCTATAGTTCATCCGGACGTTGGACAAAGCCCTCCTCATAACATTTCCATTCTCTTCTGTCTCTAGCTATCGTAGTCCAAGCGGCCGTTCCCATGTATGATGTTAGGTCATCTCTCCATCTTCTCTTCTGCCTTCCTCTTCTTCTCTTTCCCATCCTTGGTTGCTATTCTGTTAAACGATTTGTCCATCTATAGAGTACAGAAGCTGTGACGTCATAAAAATCTATTTTTAGAATTTATCAATTTTTTCTTCGTTTTCCGAAATAGCATAAAAAAATAATGTCCAAATGTCGAAAACCAATTGAATATGTTAAGTATTGGCTGAGATATGTCCATCTGAATAAATATATGTCCTATGGGAACTCAGTGTTATATGCTCTGGCTCCTAGTGGTTAGGAGCCAGAGCATATAACACTGAGCTCCAATGGGGTGTATATTTAATCAGATGGTCATATCTCAGACAATACTTAACATATTCAATTGGTTTTTGACATTTGGACATTATTTTTTATGCTCTTTCGGAAAATGAAGAAAGAATTGAGAAATTCTTAAATTATATTTTTGATGACGTCACACTTCACCACTCTATTGTCCTGAAGTCTTGCTACATGCCCAGCCCATCTCCACTTCATCAGCTTGAGTTTGCCAAATAACCCGCTATTTTAACTATCCCAATCACAAAATATCACAAAAATATCCAGCTAATTTCCGTCCTCATCAGCCCGCAGTTGCAATTAGCGGGATATTTGGTCATGAGAATATCCCTTGAAATCTTGGTCTTGTTTCCAAAAAATGAACCCGTTCGAGCTAGTTTGTGATGAGTGTATCGGTCTGGTGAAGACGCAATTTCTAGCTTCGGGATAATATCCGGAGTCTGAAAATAGCCGTTATTTGGCAAGCTCGAGCTGATGAAGCCAGGCCTTATTGAAGCTCTCACCTGACCAATACGGAATGTTTCTATTGCCATGGACTTAAATTGAAGGACACTAAGACCTTTGTCATAAGCTCATTCAAATGATAGCAGAAAACTAAGAGAAACAGAGTGGCGCAAGTTTGGAATATATGGGACCAATAATGAGAGAGTTATGAATGTTTGAAATGTGATATCACTAAATCTATGCGAACCACAAATTAGCACTTTGATCAGTGGATTACGTGTAGCCACTGACAGCTGTCCTCTTCATCATGTAAAAACTAGTCATTTTGGGGGGTGTTTCACCAAAATCCTAAGTCGAACTTAACTCTAAGTTGGACCTAAAAATTATAGAGAGCCATTTGTAGCCTTAAAATAAAATATATTTGAAAGTGAAAATTTAAGTATTTCAGATTTTTTATAAATTCCTCATCAAAAACATAAAATCTCCTTAATAATAGAAAATAAAAATGATTTGAATCAACATTTTATGCCTTATAAAAATGACTTTTACAAAATATTTTCAAAGATGCTTATGGCTTTCCATAAATGTTAAGTCTAACTTAGAGATAAGTTCAACGTAGGATCTTTGTGACACACCCCCCTGTTTTTCTCCGAGGTGCCTTTTCCCTTGGGGCTCTAATTAAAAATGTGATGGATAGCTTGTTGATAAAGATCCTCTTAAGACAATCGTGGGTTATAAATACATTTTGAAAAGAAGTCATTTGATTTGATTTGATTGATTGATTTTTCTTAATGGTCTTTTTCCAAAGTTAGAAAATAATTACAACATTGATCATGATGATAAACAATTCTATGATTAATATGTCATTAATGTTAAAGGTAATACAAAGTTTTGGGAAATTTTGAAAATTGGCTGGATAGTGATTCTTTACAATTTTGATATATTTGGATGCCCCTGTGGATGTATTATAAGCACTAGAAAATTTAGCCCCTAAAACACTTCTGCTTTCGAGGAAAATTGAATATAAAAATTTACCGGTGCTCCCGGTAAATTTTGATAAATTTCAAATAGCGCCTACGGCCGTACAATGGTAGCTGCGACAATGAAAATCTCAGAACATGTAGTTGTGATATATAATTTCCAATCGGGAATAGCTAATCGGTCGATTTTAGTCAAGAAACATTGTATTGTACCTTAAGTAATATATTGACCTAAAGAGGGAGCTATGCAACATAAAGAGTGCATTATTTACAATTTCATAACTTTAGACTCGATTTCAACCGCAACGACGATCACTGAATATTGTAGGATCGCATATGCTTCCAATATGTTCATTCGAACCAAATTCATGACCCCGTACCCAAACTTTGTATTACCTTTAATACTTATATTGTAAAACTAAAATAAAATAACCATGAAAGTAGGATTGCCACATAAGCTAAGCCTGAAGGTGTTGTAATCCTTTATAAAACTTAATAATTCCTATAAAAGATGTTTGGGACTGAGGGGAAAATATGTATGAGAAGATTACAGTAGCAGATGGTATATAGAGCTACAATTTCCTTTTAATCTGTAGTATAATTTAAACCATCTGGTTTCAGATTGGTAGAAGCTGGTAGTCATAAATGCATGTTCTCTTGATAAAGCTTTATTAATAGGAAAGATAAATAATTAATTTGCGGGCTCTTTTCATTTATTTTCTGGTACAGTGTGGTTGATTATTGTAGACTTTTTTTTTTGCATACTGGTACTGGTAGATAGATTGATAGCTGACCAAATGCCCACATATTTGATTAAAATGACAAGTTTGTGGTTTTCACACCAGCTTTCATGCCTCGTGTTTGTGTGGTCCCATGTGCACATCTCTGTGTACAGTGCTTGTGACTTTTAGCAAGACTGTGCCAATTTCTTATCATTTTGATGATCAAAAAACCTCACAGTATACACTAATACTTACATATACACAGAGCTAGGTGTTGCATAATGTTTGCTGATTACAAAAATAATGTTGCCACAGTCTATGATTGACTTTTAAAATTCACCTCATATGTAACACTTTTGTGCCCTTGATCAGACCGATGCACATATACACAGAGCTGTCACCCCCCCCCCCCCCCCCCCCCCCCCCCGGATTTGTTGGAAGACTTCCGTAAAATCAACCCAATCTCCAAATATATCCTGACACACATAAAAGATCTGGATTCTTAAGATTCAAAAATAAAAAAACGGCGGTATCATTTCATGTGGGGTTTCGTGTTATCTGATGGTAACCATGGACCTAATACGGCTGGACATTCATCGTTTTCTTAACAACTTCATTGTGATTGTGTCCGTCAATGTCGTCTCAATAACATTCCCTACATGTTTCTTCACTTTGATCTCATGATGGTCGCCGCCAAAAAGCCGGGACAGAATCAAGATAGTGATTTTACACATGTTATAATAACTCGCCTAAATCATGGAAAATAGATGTGCAGTTCTGGCATATAATCGGAAATTGTTGTTCCGTGTACTGTACATGTACATGTATTTTGAAATTTGAAAAACATGTTGATATTACCAGATAAAGGTTATTTTTGGATTTTTTGGTTGTGATTAAAAATCCTGTTTCCCCCTATTTCCTCATAATATTCCAGAGTTACAACGCACAGGGCTGATACAGATCATGGCCTTCTAATTGTTTTATAAGGTCATAGGTGTGTGCGAAAGTTTGCAAATTAGTAATAATACATTTCATATCTCCAAAATCGTCTGCTTTTCAACTTTGCTTCTCTCCATTGAGGATGCTTTTATTTAAGACCCACTCTTACAGAGCACACCATCCAAACAAAACCCAAGAGAGGGAAACTGCTCCTTTTCAATGACCGAAAATGCTTACACACTCGTTATTGTTAAAACAGCTGAATGTTCTCATTAAGATTCACATAATCAGAAGGCGGTGACTATCATTGGATCAAAGAAAGAATCACATTGAATGTCCATCCGTAATAGGTCCATGGTGTAACCTTGCACATTAGTGTGAGCAACCTCATGTTGACTTTCTTTGATCTTGTCTGGTAGATTTCATATTTTCACGATCTTTGCAAACATCTAAATGTGAATGCATTTCTACAAAATTTTGTGAATGTGTACTTGATGAGCTAAAATACGATTATAATTAGAGCCCATTTGATACCTGTTTTTATGCAAAAAGGAATCAAATTTTGTTGAACTTTTTAATTACAATTACAATGAAAACACTTTATTTTCTATATCTTGTTGTTACAGAATTACATTGGTTTTTTATTGATTACAGAATTACATTAGTTTGTAGAGTACAAAGAGCCTTATTCGAATGTTATTAATATGAGCATTGCATTCAAAAGAGAAATAATAAATTGCAGATAAATTGATTAGAATACACTGTACAGTATGAGTAATAAAAAAGTTTTCACCTTGAAAATTGCTAATCCCGAATCATTTAGTATCATTTTGTGCCGTATGTGTTCACGCTTGAATGAACAGAGGCATTGTTTGTGGTCTTATGGACTGTAGCCACATGCCTGTACCTGCACTTTGAAATGGGAGGTAGAGAGATTCATGACTTCACCCATTAATCATTCTCCATGCAATTTTTTCTTGAACCTGTGAAGGATTGTGGGACAGGACTCGCCTGAAGACCCGTAAACCGATCACCAAGAAGGTGAAAGTGAAGACTGAGACCGTTGAAAAGCCCTCTGTGGTGCCACCGGAGGAATCCCCCGCCAAGGCGGTGGATCTGCTCCCCGAGTTGACCATCCACCATCAGGAAATAGCTCGGTTGATAGCCGTGGCTTACAGATCAGCGAAAGAAGCGTTACCTCAACCACCACCAAACGTAAGTAAAGGCTCGTTCACATACGACTCGTTAAAACACTGCCCCCCAAAAAAAGCTGTTACATGTAAAGGAATAGCAATTGCACGCACCAAAGGTCCTGTGTGTATATACTGAGCTCTGTGTTATCAGAAACAGATTTGTGACACGTCTTAAGCCCCAGTCCCATATAAAGCCGGACCAGCACGGACGAGCACGGACCACTCCGGACCATCCCGGACCATGGTCTGGGGTGATCCGGGATGGTCCGGGATGTTTTGTTCAAAAAATTGTGATGCTTTTAAGCTACAGTCCCATATACGTCCCGGACCGTCCCGGACCATCCCGGACTCCATCCGGGGTGATCCGGGATTCGGTCCGTGTTGACACCGTGTTGGCACCGGGGTGGTCCTGGATGGTCCTGGATGGTCCTGGGCGGTCAATAACTCACTCCCGGACTGCCACGGATGAACACGGACCGCCCCGGCGCCACTACGGATGACCCCGGACCCAGCACGGTGGCTACACGGATCACCCCGGATCAAACTATTGTCCCGGACCGTCCCGGACCACCCCGGCAGTTTTTGACCGTCAAAAACATCCGGGGTCGACTCCCGGACCGCCCAGGACCATCCAGGACCATCCAGGACCATCCAGGACCACCCCGGTGCCAACACGGTGTCAACACGGACCGAATCCCGGATCACCCCGGATGGGGTCCGGGACGTATATGGGACTGTAGCTTTACACTCAACGTTATCACGAAGAAAATACCGCAGCAGTTTTGCCACGTCATATATGAACAGGGCCTAACAGGGATACTAGTTTCCAGGTCACTGCCTGACCTCGGCTCTGACATTTCCCCGTTTCAAACTTTTTAGGCTGACATTTTGGAGACTGTTAAAGCCATCAGTCCCCGGGTTGCTTACTTACAAGCATACGCATGCTTTCTTAATAGCAGTCAGGTAACATAATTGTCGAGATGAAAGGATCACCCTGTTTCGATGACACTACTTGACTTTTTGGGGGCCACCAAATGTTTTGATAGTTGTCACAAATGAGCGGCCAAGATTGAAATTTGTCTTAAAATGCCTTGTGTCATTGTTAGATTGGGCATACATTTAGGATATAACTACATATAACTGTTTCTGTTTATGGAAAAAAAATGGTCCAAACACAAGATTTAATATTAGGCAGGATTTGCCATCCAGGAATTGGATGGGTTGAATACACTCTGTCATTGCAGTTCCATAGGAGGCGCAATAGCTCAGTAGGTAGAGCAGTGGTCTCCTAATCCTGCGCCCGGGTTCGAAACCAAGTCGATGTGCTAGTGCTCTTTGTTAAGGCATTAATTCTCATTACCAGGTCCCTCGGAGAGGACCTAAAGCCGTCGGCCATCTGGTTGCTTACTTACAAGCATTCATGCTTTCTTAGTAGTCAGGTAAAATAACCACCATCACCATCACCAATATGTATTCTAGATTTTGTACTTATTTTAAGTGTTCTTTTTTTTTTCCTCTTTGCCATTACCTACATACACGCCTAAAGCTTATTCCAGAGCCTGAATCGCCTGTACCCACCACCCTTGATGGCCCTGAAAATTCCCGCTTTCAGCCTTCAACTTCAATGAATACTGCTTCTGATACATATCCAAGTAGCTCAGCCTTACATACCAAGGGATCCACCTGTCAAAAGACACCTCTGTCCTCGGAATCTCCTGCAAGCCAGGTGACGTCTCCTAAATGTAAAGTTCCCCAAACATCCCCGAGCGCGCAACCCTGTTCCTCAACCTTACCATCAAGAACAATCGACCCCGTATTATCCAGCGACCTCTCGTCGACCTCGTCCCCTCCGAGGCAGAGTACAACATCCATAGAAGCAGTAAGTAGCGCAGGGAAGCAGTTGTCACCTCCGACCCCTCGTCCTGTAGGAAGCAAATGCGAATGCGGATGTATCATCCACAACAAGCCAACTCCCGAGAGTGAACCCGTTCCAGTCGTAGAAGTATCGTCATCGTCAGTCACCTCCAAACTGTCGGTTAAAACACTGCCCAAGGAAGTTCCCTCCGAGGATCAACCCAGCACGTCTGCTGTCCAGAAAGCCCACTCGGAGGGTCAGAGGTCATTGCTTGCTGGGGGTATGACGGGCCGTGGGATAGTACCTCAGATCATGGAGATTGTTGTTCTTCTCCTGAAGCATATGATTAACTTTGCCAAGCAGCTGCCGGGTTTCCAGACTCTTTCCAGTGACGACCAGGCAACGCTGATCAAAGGTAAACTACACTTGTCTGAAACTTCCTGTTCCTGTTCCCGTTCATCACACTTGTCCTCTGAATTGCTTTTCCAAGATGTTTTAGAAAGTTGGAATTTATCAAATTTAAATTTAATTTCAAAAACTAACTTCTTCATTAAACTTTCTATTATCTCATGGTATTGATGCATCTGAATTAAATATCAGACTAAATCTGACAGAAAGTTTGAGATTATTTACTTGTAGCCTTAGTAGGGCTCAATAGAAATAGAAGAAGAAGGAGAAGAAGAAGAAGTAGGTAGAAAATGCACATCACTAATAAAAAATAAGGGCAGGACAGTTCTTTTTCTCTTTTTGTCATCAGGTGCTTTGGTCGAATACATGGTCCTGACATCATGTCAAGAAAGGCCAGATCTGGCAAATCCCTTGCCATCGACCTCTATCCTGCCACTCAGTTGAAGATGCAATGTACATGGATTAGTATCTGCACATAATGAATTCACGTTACTAATATAATGATAATGATGATGTACAGTGGGATAATATAGACCACCATTTCTTCTTTGTCACCAGGTGTTTTGGTCGAGTACATGATTCTTACGTCGTGTTGAGAAAGGCCAGTTGAACAGAGAGATCTGGCAAACCCCTTGCCATCGACCTCTATCCTGCCACTCAGTTGAAGATGCAATGTACATGGATTAGTATCTGCACATAATGAATTCACGTTACTAATATAATGATAATGATGATGTACAGTGGGATAATATAGACCACCATTTCTTCTTTGTCACCAGGTGTTTTGGTCGAGTACATGATTCTTACGTCGTGTTGAGAAAGGCCAGTTGAACAGAGAGATCTGGCAAACCCCTTGCCATCGACCTCTATCCTGCCACTCAGTTGAAGATGCAATGTACATGGATTAGTATCTGCACATAATGAATTTACGTTACTAATATAACGATAATGATGATGTACAGTGGGATAATATAGACCACCATTTCTTCTTTGTCACCAGGTGTTTTGGTCGAGTACATGATTCTTACGTCGTGTTGAGAAAGGCCAGTTGAACAGAGAGATCTGGCAAACCCCTTGCCATCGACCTCTATCCTGCCACTCAGTTGAAGATGCAATGTACATGGATTAGTTTCTGCACTTATGAATCTAGTTACTACTATAATTATAATGATGATGTACATTGGAATAATATAGACCACCATCTCTTCTTTGTTATCAGGTGTTTTGGTCGAGTACATGATTCTTACGTCGTGTTGAGAAAGGCCAGTTGAACAGAGAGATCTGGCAAACCCCTTGCCATCGACCTCTATCCTGCCACTCAGTTGAAGATGCAATGTACATGGATTAGTATCTGCACATAATGAATTCACGTTACTAATATAATGATAATGATGATGTACAGTGGGATAATATAGACCACCATTTCTTCTTTGTCACCAGGTGTTTTGGTCGAGTACATGATTCTTACGTCGTGTTGAGAAAGGCCAGTTGAACAGAGAGATCTGGCAAACCCCTTGCCATCGACCTCTATCCTGCCACTCAGTTGAAGATGCAATGTACATGGATTAGTTTCTGCACTTATGAATCTAGTTACTACTATAATTATAATGATGATGTACATTGGAATAATATAGACCACCATCTCTTCTTTGTTATCAGGTGTTTTGGTCGAGTACATGATTCTTACGTCGTGTTGAGAAAGGCCAGTTGAACAGAGAGATCTGGCAAACCCCTTGCCATAGACCTCTATCCTGCCACTCAGTTGAAGATGCAATGTACATGGATTAGTATCTGCACATAATGAATTCACGTTACTAATATAATGATAATGATGATGTACAGTGGGATAATATAGACCACCATTTCTTTTTTGTCACCAGGTGTTTTGGTCGAGTACATGATTCTTACGTCGTGTTGAGAAAGGCCAGTTGAACAGAGAGATCTGGCAAATCCCTTGCCATCGACCTCTATCCTGCCACTCAGTTGAAGATGCAATGTACATGGATTAGTTTCTGCTCTTATGAATCTAGTTACTACTATAATTATAATGATGATGTACATTGGAATAATATAGACCACCATCTCTTCTTTGTTATCAGGTGCTTTGGTCGAGTACATGATCCTTACGTCGTGTCCTCTGTATGACATTGAGAAAGGCCAGTTCAACAGTGAGATCTGGCCAACGCTCTCCATCGACCCTGATCAGGTTGAGAGTGCCGGGTTCATCACTGTCATGGGGTCTGTCATGTCCTTCGCGGTGAAAATGCAGAAACTGTCCCTAAAGGAGGAAGAACTTGCTCTGCTGTTCGCTTTAGCCATCATATCACCAGGTCAGTATAATGATCTTCAAGACCCCTTGTCCAATGGGCAATGAAATAGTAGAAAAGTGCTTTAGGTTAGTAATCTCAGACATTTAGAAATGAGCCATAAGGGGGAATTTCAACCTTGAAGGTTTGTGAATACGTATCCTGCAATAATGGGAAAGGTCCTTCACTGTGAAAATGCAAAGACTGTCCCCAACAGAGGAGGAAGTTGGTCCACTGTTCGTCTTAGCTATCACTTCATCAGGCCGGTATATGATCTACAAGCGCTGCGGTCCAATGGGCAATAAGTTAATAGACAAGGACTTTGGGTTCACTGTTCAGAAATTTTATAACGAGCCGTAGTAGACAAATCAAACCTTTAAGGCTCATTTATATATATATATATACGATAGGCACAAGGAACCTTCACTGTCGAGGGCCATCAAAGGCTCTTGCAGATGATATTCGAGAGCCCTTGTTCAATGGGCTATGAAATAGTACACCAGGGCTTTCTGTCTTGAAGTTTGCAAGATTGGGAGATCTAAACTTAATAAACCGCTTGACACCAAAAGGTCCCCACGAAAAGATGGGCATCCAAAATCTGGAACCCAGAATTTCAATATTGGAATATAGGAAATAAGGTCCTTCACTGTGAAAATGCAAAGACTGTCCCCAACAGAGGAGGAAGTTGGTCCACTGTTCGTCTTAGCTATCACTTCATCAGGCCGGTATATGATCTACAAGCGCTGCGGTCCAATGGGCAATAAGTTAGTAGACAAGGACTTTGGGTTCACTGTTCAGAAATTTTATAACGAGCCGTAGTAGACAAATCAAACCTTTAAGGCTCATTTATATATATATACGATAGGCACAAGGAACCTTCACTGTCGAGGGCCATCAAAGGCTCTTGCAGATGATATGTGAGCCCTTGTTCAATGGGCTATGAAATAGTACACCAGGGCTTTCTGTCTTGAAGTTTGCAAGATTGGGAGATCTAAACTTAATAAACCGCTTGACACCAAAAGGTCCCCACGAAAAGATGGGCATCCAAAATCTGGAACCCAGAATTTCAATATTGGAATATAGGACTCATAAATATAGGCTTAGGGATTTGCCTCTAAGAAGAAAAATGGTAATTGGTAAGTTTATGAAGAACGGAGAAAAATCAAGAACAAGGTTTTGCATCTTGGGTGCCAGACAAAGCATTTTCTCTGGGTTTCTTATATCCCACAAAGTGCAAACTGCACTCCACATTTGTAATGACTAATTACTAGTAAAAAATTCAAGGTAATAGAAGTAAGTGTATGTGTATACAATGATATATCATCATGTTTGCTAAAGGTATTACAAGTTTCGGTATGGGGTCGTGAATTAAGTTCAATGGAACATATTAGAAGCATATGCGGTTTTACAATATTCAATGATCATTGTTGCGGTTGAAATTGAGTCTAAAGTGATGAATTTGTCAATAATAAACTCTCTATGTTGTATAGCGCCCTCTGAAGACTGATATTTTTAGCTTCAAAACAATGGTGTTTTTTTTTTACTACAATCGTCCAATTTGCTATTCCTGTTTGGAAATTATATGTCAGAACTGCATATTCTGAGATATTCATGGTTGAGCTATCATGGAATGGCCTTAGACGCTATTTGGAATATTTGAAATTTACAGGGAGCACAGTAAATTTTTTATTATTCAATTTCTCGAAAGCAGAAGAGTTTTAGGGGCTAAATTTTCTAGTTCTTATAGTACATCCACAGGGGCATCCAAATATATCAACAATTTAAAGAATGATTATCAATCCTATTTTCAAAACTTTGCATTACCTTCAATACTATGTATTTTTGCTATATATCATTGAAGATCGTCGAGACTTAGAGGACGCCCTGAAGGTTGAGGAGCTCCAGCAGCCTTTAGTCGATGCTCTACAGACCTGTGTGCAGGTCAACCATCCTAACAAGACGGGCCACTTCGCAAAGGTCAGAAACACTTCTACGAGATTCTGTGTATCATGTCCTGTATGAGATGGAATTTGATGGAAAAGTCCATTTATTGGTTTTAATGGCAGCAGAAAATTAGAAAAACAGAACGGTAAAAGTTTGAACAAAAACCGATGCAAAATAAGAAAGTTGTGAGTTTTTTTGTTATTGAACTGCAATAAATCAAACAAACACAATTGGCAACTCTGTGATGTATCTCCCTTTCTCTCCCTCTCTCTCTCCCTCTCTCTCTATCACCCCATCAAGGGCGCTTCTTTGACAGGGGGATTACATTGCACAGCGCTTGTGTTTTCTTTAAGCTTACTGCAATCTCAGGTTTCTAGAAGTGGTAAAAGTTGAATCAGGATTACAAATTTAAACGAGAGATTCTCGTAATGGTGAATGTGATCGGATCAGTAGAGTGGATCCTTTTGTAAAGTTGCATTTCTGCATATTTTTTTTCTCCTAGTTCATCTGGTTATGTCTTTCAGTTTATTGATTAAAACAAATAAATTCTTATTCAATGTTCCAACAACCCAAGCCACTTTTCAGGACTACACACACACTCAAGCAAGAAAGATTACCGCTGTCCTTTTCAGGACTTCCCAATCCTCCCCCTCTCTCATATGGTGCAACCGTATAAGCCTACTGCATAAGATAAGGTTACATTTGAATGCTATTCATGTTTCTCCCAAAACCTATAACTTTTTCTCCTACCTTTTAATCTGATTGTGATTGAGGCTTTACCACGATTTCTTCTGTGTGCCTCTGACAGATCATCATGCTCTTGACGGAGGTCCGCGACGCCACTGAAGCCTACATGGACGACCTGATGACCATCCAACTCAGCGGAAGCAGACTTAATCCTCTCCTTGAAGAGCTCTTCAGTGATTAGGATGATCCTGGGGGCGTTTCACAAAAGTCGTCATCAGTGACAAATGAGAGTTTTTGTTATAAGCTACTGAAATCCTTGCTTCTGATTGGTTATCAGCAGATTTGTCACTGATTTTTGTCATATGTCATGGAAAAAAGGCTTTGTGAAACAGGCCCCTGCTTACAAGACGACTCAAGAACTCCATTCGAACAACAGCAGAGTCTCTGGATGATACACTGTACATTCCTGTTCAGAAAGTCTGTGCCATGTTGCATCCATTGTAGTAGCATCAAGGGGGGTTTGACAAGAAGTCATTTTCCCTTGGTTCATATTGAATGAATTGAAAACAGGTTGCGTCCAGATATTCCATGATTGGTTGAAAATGAAAAGGGAATTCAATTTTTTAGTTGCTTTTAACTCTTTATATGCCACACAAATAATCTCATTCTGTCACATTGTATTTATTAGGAGATATACACACCAAAGGCTTCAAGATTATTCAATTGTGTCCAGTGCAAGATTAATCTATACCAATGTGGTAAAAGGGTTGTCCTGGAGCTAATTAATCTAGACCGGAAATGATAATTTTTGCACAGCCATCCTTCCCTGAATTGATGCCAATTGTTTTGTCCAGAAATGCACGAGTGGCAAATGACCAACTGTGCAGACAGGCGAAGAAAGCAACTGAAGTGTTAAAGGTATATCTTTTGCAAGAGTTCCTTGCATCTTCATAGGGTAAATAGTTGAGTGGAGCAAAAATTCTCTACAGGTCGAAAGTATGCATTGACATCTATATCCATTACCGTTAATATTAATATCCTTTTCAAAGAGAATTTAAACTTGGTATTGTGGCAAGAACCCTCGCGACATGAAGCATGCCCCCATCCTTACTCAGGAACACGGCAGGAAATGGAGCATGTATACTGAAGACAACCCATATTGTCAACAAGAAAATTCATATAGTCAACTATACAGGTCGTATAGTCAACAAGACAACTCATATAGTCAACTATATAGGTTGTATAGTCAACAAGACAACTCATATAGTCAACTATTTAGTCTGTATAGTCATCAAGATGACTCATATAGTCAACTATATAGGTTGTATAGTCAACAAGACAACTCATACAGTCAACTATACAGGTCGTATAGTCAACAAGACAACTCATATGGTCAACACGACAACTCACATAGTCAACTATACAGGTCGCATAGTCAACAAGACAACTCATATGGTCAACTATTTAGGCTGTATAGTCAACAAGACGACTCATATAGTCAACTATATAGGTTGTATAGTCAACAAGACAACTCATATAGTCAACTATTTAGTCTGTATAGTCAACAAGACAACTCATACAGTCAACTATACAGGTCGTATAGTCAACAAGACAACTCATATGGTCAACAAGACAACTCACATAGTCAACTATACAGGTCGCATAGTCAACAAGACAACTCATATGGTCAACTATTTAGGCTGTATAGTCAATAAGACGACTCATATAGTCAACTATATAGGTTGTATAGTCAACAAGACAACTCATATAGTCAGCTATACAGGTCGAATAGTCATCAAGACAACTTATATAGCCAACTATACATGTTGTATAGTTAATAAGATAACTCATATAGTCAAGTAGGCTAGTAGATCGCTGCTAAAAAATTGTCTACCTTCACAATATCCTTCCTCATTTCTGTATAAAGTATACATGTATATTTGTATAAATGTAAATAATGACGGGAATGCAGGAATGATGTTTTAAACTAAACCGTGGACTAAACCACCAATTTACTTTGGCCGGCCAAGAGGGCCAAAAAGTCAATACATTAATAAAAAAGGCTCACAATGCAGTGCTCTTTGTCCTCAAAATTTGAATTTAAATCTAAATTGAAAATAGTGAATAACAGGAGGCGCTTTGGACATCTCCTATTACGACAAGGTATGTCCTCACGGCACACATTCTCATTGGAATAAGCAAGTCATTGTTGGGCTTATGACGCTTTATCTGGTAAAAGATAAATGCAGGAATTGTGGCATTAAATATCAAGTTATAAATCATACTGTTATTTGTCGGTACAGATATTTTGAAACGTTTCATTTTTTCGTCAGGAGGCAGGTCTGAGCCTGCAGCGTTCTGTTCAATCACTGCTGTAAACTCAATGTAACATGTTTGTACACTAGAGGTATTTTTGTTGTCGCGTCATCCATGATCTAATTGTACATTGTAAGAACCATCTGGAGACTACATTCTTGTTTTTTCAGTACCATATTTATTTTTCTGTGGTATTAAAGGTGTACGTTATTCCAATTATTCACTAGCTCATTATGTATAAATTGTTACGTAGAATATTAAGTTGGTTAGCATCATTTTGGGTCATTTCATGCATGTTGTTTGGTTTATGTCTTTACCATAGATCTAATGTCCACTTGCACAAATGTTAGAGAACAACGGGCAGAGGTCATGATCAATATCATGCACAAAATTAATATACCAATTCTCTCCTGGAGACGACATCAATGGAATGAAATGGCTTTTAATACACCGTATGCGTGCGTTAGCGAATTGCCACTCAGGAGTATTCATAGATGTTTTATTTTATTGCAAGAGTTAGGGGCTTTATTCCAGGTTTAAATCAGGTTTTTGATGTTGAGATATTTGTAAAACCAGATATTTTTTTAGTGAATTCCATGAGTGGTTTGCTAAAGTTTAATGCCGCAAGAGGAGATGATCATACACGTATTTCAATCGTGTGTACCGGTTTGAAATATGCTGCAAGTGTTTCCTCTGAAACGTTGTAGGCTCTGAATCAGGAAGATTTAAATTTGTACTACTTAAGTTTTATTTTATTGCAAGAGTTAGGGGCTTTGTTCAAGGTTTAAATCAGGGTTCTTTTTGGAAACATTTGCAAAACCAAATATTTTGTTAGTGAATTCCAAGAGTGGTTCACAAAAGTTTAATGCTGCAAATTAATTCATGCAGAATTGACAAAATACTTAAAGTAAGTGTTGTTTTTAAGTAGCAAGTTTCATGTTAATCATGTTTCCGGATTTACAATATTTTTTCATTTTTATTGTCAGTAGGTTTTTATGCCCCGCTACAAAGTAGCCGGAGGCATTATTTTTGTTATTTTGTTCTTCCTCTCAGAATGTATCTTTTTGGAAAAGATAGTCTAACTGGACTCAATCTATTACTGTGTTTCACAAAAAAATGTTTGTTTATTGATTAAAATATTATGTTATTCTGTATGATACTTGCATTAAAAGATCATGAAGTTATATGGAAATAAAAGTAGCCCCTAAAGTTGTGTAGAAGATGATATATTGATCTACATTTGCCACTCATCACCCAGGTAGAGAAAATTGATACCCAGGAGGTAGAAATTCCTTGAATGCTTGAGCATCTTTCATGGTAGCTTGGCTAAAGCCAAGGTAATCATAGGATTGCAGGGCCCTCAGGGAGAACAGTGGGTACCCTGGCTAAATAATGTATTATCATTAATATTATAACATGCATCAAATGCAATGAGTAATGCCTGTTATAGAAATGAAATGTCACATAATTATTATTACTATTATTATTACTATTATATTTACTATTATTACTTTTATTATTACTATCATTATTGATATTTTTATCATATATGATTAGATATTAGACATTTTAGTGTTTAGTTCATAATTATGTAGTAGCTGAGCCAATTTTTTCAATCTTAAGTAACATTGAACTGAAATACTTAAAAGTTAGAATGTATATTGTCACAATACTGATGTTTAAAACAAAAATGGAGAAAGTAAATTTGTCGGGAAAGTGCAACTGAAATTCAGAGTTTACTAGATTATTTTTTCTTGGCCACAGAAGTTTTCTTAGACATCATGTTGTTTGTATGCCTTTCTGAAATAAATTTTGAGATTGCTTTTAAAGTACATTCAATGTACCACTAGCAGCAGATGATTTATATTGATATATGTTTTCAGAAATATTTTTTCATGAAATCATAAATGCTGAATTTCTATATACAAAGAGAGATGTCTTGTACTGATAGTAATTTGAGTAATATTTGTTTGATGAAATCATAAAAGCTTAGTTGTACTGACGTGATAGAGAAAATCCCTCCTATATGTTTCTTTCCGTTTTTGTCGATGCCAGTCAAGTTTTGGTAGACTGCATGCAGCTGAATTGGATGCTGCCGGCGTGTGAAGAGGTAAAGATGAAGGTTGTGGAGGAGGAGAAAAAATATATATTTAAATGCTGCAATTGAATTACACTTGCATTGTTATGGTTCCTATGGAAAAGTTTATTTTGAATATTTGATAGACGTGCATATGTTGTGTATTTCATCTCCATGTACATATTTGTTTCGCCTGTCATCAAATGTTTGATCTTAGTTTTGTATGTCTCTTTCTTTATGTCTCTGGTTGGTTTTAGGGACATATGCTCTGGAATTTACCGTAGTAGGGTTTCAAGTTTCAAGTTTATTTGTTTCACATTTCACAAAAAAAGAATTCACATATTTGACAAAATTAGAGCATAATATGAAATATACTAAAAGTGTCACATTATATAATTAATTCTTTGTAAAGACGTTGAAATTAATTGTATTGAATAGAAGGTTATACAGGGTGAAATGTGAGGAACCTATTAAGGTTAAGATTAGGATCAAAGTTAAATGTAGTCTTGTGGTCCAGGGGTCTCAATTTCAAATGAAGGAGTGCCAGAAAAAGCCTTTGAGAAAGATGTAACATGCCATACAGATGCATTTGTATTCATATATATTCATGTACATCTCAGGCTGCGGCAAAGGTCAACTCCTTCGGGTTGATATTTAATTATGCAATCACTGTGGCACCAAAATAATGTAATTTTTAAAGCTTAATGAAGGCAATGACAAAAGTTTATATACTTGATTATGCGAAGTAAGTAACATCACTTTGATGTTAAGAAGAAAGAAAGATTGAAGTAATGTTATATGGGAAAACAAATATTTGAAATGTGCAAAATTATATGGTTTTAATATGTTTATTTTGTCTTCTTTTTAATTTTGGCTTAGGTATGGATACAAATTTAGCCAGTTTTTGTCACGTACATGTAAAAAGAATTTTGTGTTTTACCTATGTGCTTTAGTGTAATATACATGTCTATATGTCGAGTGTATGATGGACATCATTGTTCACAGTGTTAAACGTTTTGTTGTGTATATTACTGTATGTAGAAAGGGGTGGTGTTTTATCTTTGTATAGTCCTCAGATATGATGTGGTGCATATAAAATGAATGGCAATTGCGTGCGACAAAGGAATAGGGAGATGCCTGAGTTGGTCGAGCGACACGTTTACTTGGTCAGCTCTCTGTCTTTGCCTGCAAACTGGCTCGGGCGACCTGGTTCGGAGTCGCATCTTTCGCATGGTGACGTTAAAGGTCTCTCCCCAGACGTAAACAATCTTATCTGATTCATACACGTCTGTAAAAACCCAATTACACACACACTGCAACCAAGGACTTGGGTGTATTTACTGAGCTCTGTGTTTTAAGAGAACTTTAGAAATGCGAAGTGTAGAAACACCACTGTTTTGCCGCATCATATCTGAATGAACCTGAATGTCGAAATGTGTATCAATGCCTCGTACCATATATTATTGCCTTAAATGTTGTGTATGATATTTTATGGTTTGTATACCGATGGTAAATGAAGTGCTACCTGTTGTGGCCTTATGTGTTTGTATTGATCAAGTATAGTGCAGTGCACACATGTACATCCTCTTCCGTATGTGTGCCACCCACACATCCCCCACACACACCATCACCAGGCCTGATAAAACCCTGATTTTTTTTTGATTTTTCCAGATTTTTCCCCGATTGTTTTCTTCTTCTCGATTTAAATAAAATATTATCCTGATTTTACCGATATCCCCGTTATTTTCTCTAATCTTCCCTATTTTGCCCTATTTCTTCCCAATTTTCTTACTCGAAAGTGGGGAATGTTGTTAGATGCCATTTTTTCCCTGCGAATCCTTTTCTCTTTTTTATACTCAAGGGGGGGGGGGGGGGGGGGGCGTGGTTGAGGGGAAAACAAAAAACTTTTTTTCTTAGTGCTCACTATCACCCCTGCATCACACACACCATTACACAAGTAATTTGGGTATAAATAAAATTCACCCTCAGGTTTATGTTTCAGGAACTTTTTCAGCAACTTTCATCCAATCTAATTAAGGTACTTTAGCGAAATGTCATTGCACTAAGAAAAGCGACCTCAGACCGCAAAAGACACATTTGAATGGCATTGATGTATACAAGCTTCTTTTGTGACATGTCACAATAACAATTTATTTTATAGTAATATTAAGTCTAGCCAATGTAGTAGAGAGGATAAATAGCTCTATTTCCTAATTAAATTTTTCTACTTTGATTGCATAAAAACATGATTTTCAACAATTATGCATGCTGAAGCGCCTTTTTGTGCCACTTCATCTCGCTAAGCCACCTAAATTGGATCATGGATCATACCCAATTACATAAGCAACAAATTTAGCAAAATTGGACTCGACCTTTTTCACATTGAAAGAATGTGTCTGGAGAGTCATGGCCAAAGTAATATCGGTACCTGTTAGATTAGTTGGAAATGTCACCCTGGAAATTCGAAGAGACATGTATTGTGTGTGATGTGGTTAAAACAATGAAATTGTTAAAAACAAATTACATGTATTAATGTTAATGTTAAATTAAAGCAGTACTTTTCTTGTCGTTCGATTTCCAAATTAAGAAGCAGCTTGAAAGATATCTATATTTGTTATCATTGAAATAAATGAGGGCAATGTTAAAGAGCAGAAGAAATATTGTTTTACCAACTGAATTGTTTAAAACAAGTATCTCTCTTTTGCCTTTTTGATTGTCGTATTGTTTACTAATGAGAGGCAGTAATATCAAACTTTAATCATGTTTCTCTTTTGACTAAATAGAATAAAATGGAATAAAATGTCTTGTATGCCTTATTTTGCATAATATTTTTATAGGTAAAGGTCTATTATTTATTAGAACGATATAGTGATCCCCTTCCATATTCAAATGGTCTTAAGAATTTGAGTTCTTTATTGAAGAGATATTTGTGTTTTGATTTAGTGTTGTTCCTTCCATTTTTTTCTCCTTCTTAGAATTGACTATTCAGGATGCCATACTGAAGTCAATGCCTTTCCATATAAAAGGAAAAGACATACCTGCCAGAAGTTCTGTTTTCATAGACTGCCACAAGTATTTTTAACTGAAATAAAAAAAGGTTAAACAGTTAGGTGTGAAATGCCAACTCTTTGAGATACATGAACTATTTTTCTTAGAATATACATGTAGATTTACTAGTCGTAATGACATGCACCTTTTTGAAAAAGGTTTAAGGCTAAATATATATTTTATTTTGAGGATGTGGAGGAAGGGTAAATGCTTATTACATTGTATATTTTCCAAAATGCTTTTAATACCGTCTTATAGCGTTGTCCTATCTGAAGATTTTGAAATGAAATTTCATATGACAGTGTCTCATTGTATTAGTTAGTTTTCTTTTGATATCTTGCATTGTATTGTCTCAATTTGTACAATTTTTTTTTCATGTCGATACAGATAAATCTTTTTTTTTTTAAGGAGACAGGTGTTGTTCTCAACCAAAGATTGATTACTTTTATTGTTCATGTAAGGTAGTGGCAAGAGTAGATTAATAGATGAAATCGAGTGTTCTTTTAATTTTTTTTTTTACATGGGATGAACTTTTGAAAAGTCATATCTGATATCTGATATATATATATTTAGGTTTACAAATTTTCCAATTTATAGCTAAAAGCTGAACTTATGTAATTATCATTTTGAAAGAAACCACCATTGAAATAGGTGCCTGAATTGGTATTTACTAAATGATACTATGAAAATCTATTGAACGGACCTCAAAATTTGAAATCATGAACTCTTGAATATATGATACCATTGCCTTTAGTTGAATATAATATACCTTTTTAGCATTTTATAGAGGTTCTTATTTCTTTCTGAAGAAAGATGGAATTCGTTTCTCATCATTTTGTCCCTATATTATATTTTCCTTGTATATCATGTACATAAATCAGGTGGAAATATATTGTTGAAGAAATGCATGTATTATGACAAAAGTGTACTTGATTGTTGAAGTGATAGAACGTGATATATTATTGGTTATTATGTATTGTACACGAATCATGTCAAGCAGTCTGAATCAGTGTTATCACTTGTTGGATATTGTTGATGCACCCTTTACTTAAGTGTGACTTCAATGTGACATGAGCAGTCCCCAAATGCATGTTTCATCATGCTTTAAGAGGAGTTTGAGGCATGGTACAGTTGGAAATATGGTGTTAAAATACCATCATTTTGTTTAATCATTGTGGAGAAATATCATGATTTGATCATGGTAATGTCAGATGAAGCAAACTACCATTCAAATACCATCTTATTTCAAATGCATATTCCACATACATGTATGAATAAAAACAGTTTGAAACTTGGAACTGAATTTGTTTGAATGCCTCTGCATATGTGTGTGTGTCGCGCCATATATCACTGTCTGTGTCAAGACCTATGTTACTGGATATAGAGTCATTTTTTTATAGTTTGATGACTCCAAAAACCTCAGGACTAGACAGTTCCTTTCAAAATGCAATGGAGTGACCAGTACTCAACCTTGAACCTCTAAGGATATGTTATGATTAGCGTCACTATTGGTCTGAACCGTATCTGGACACCTACCCCCTGGACATCCACCCCTGGAAACCCCCCCCCCCCAGTCAACTACCCCCTTGGAAAAACTACCCCCGGACAACTACCCCCTAGGATAGTTGTCCGGGGGAGTTGTCCTAGAGGACGGTTGTCGTAGGGGGTAGTTTTTTTGGGTAGTTGTCCGAGGGGGTGCTTTTCCTAGGGGGTAGTTGTCATGGGGGTAGTTGTTCGGTGGGGGGGGGGGGGGTGGGGGTGGGTAGTCGTCCTAGATGATGGTTGCCCTAGGGGGTAGTTGTTCTAGGGGGTAGTTGACTGGGTGTGGTTATCCGGGGGTGGATGTCCAGTGGGTAGGTGTCCTAGAGCCGTCTGAACTTCATACACATACTTCTGGTTATTCTACTGGGATTTCGTTTCAAAATTATTACAAAATCTAAGGATTTTGAGACATTATGCAAGCATCATAGCATTATCATGGAAAATATTTTTTAGAAAATCATTATTTGTTAAATTAATTCTGGTAAAAACCGAAATTCCGAATGGACAATAGATACTTCCCTGGTTATATAACTTTTATTTAAATCTTTTGATCTTCAAATCAGCAAAGACAAAGGTTCATATATATCTACATATGTAAACATCAAAGATTTGATATATGATATCAATTCAATTTCTGTTTAATTAAAAATATCCCCCCCCCCCCAAAAAAAAAAAAAAAAAAAAAAAAAAAAATCCTAAGAGTAACAATACTTGGTTCACATTGTATTATATTAAAATGCATTAAAAACAGTTGATTTAAAAATTCAGTAATAAATTGAAGTACGAACAAAATAAACAGGTTGTAAATTATAAAATGGTATATTAATATCAATACTACACTGTAAAGATATCGGTTAAAATTGATGATTGCTATATTTAATTTGAAGGATAAGTTAACTATTATTTAAAGAAAATCATGGTGATAATCACTTGTCAATGAATTGAGAAAGAAAGAAGAAAGATAGAGTGGAAGAGGGGAGAGGGAAAGGATAAAGAGATAACATTTGAAAGAGAGAGAGAGAGAGAGAGGATCATATGATGTTAAACTCTATTTCAGGTATGCTTTTCATGTTTAATATTCCATTAATTGGATTAAAAAAAGAGAAAAGGGCATCTTTTGTTTACAGTATGGAGAGTGGTATTGATAATAAATATTTTCATACATGTAACTTACAAATCATGTACCTAATTTTGACTCGGGCATTCCTGTTAATTCACTTTCTTAATCATTGGTGTTTTCAATGTTCTAGCGATTACTGGTCTTTTATGCTCCCCACTGAGTAGATCATGTGCACTATTATGTAGGGATTAGCAACATTATACAATAAATGGGATTATTATAATTCCAATGTAAAATTCTAAGAAAAATACTTTTACAAATTCTCAATTAAAAAAAAAAAGTATTTAAGTGATACTTTGATATATTCTCTTAAACATTCAATTGCTGGTTTCATGATAGTTTTAGTATTTGATTGTATTTTAGGGCAAAAAATAATTAGGTAAGCCAATAATCAGACTGGAAGTGAATAATTTTGATCCTAAATTTATTTTAAAAAACAGTCAAAATTAACCACTTTTTAGTGTCGCAATGGACCTCTGGACGTAACTTTTTAAACAAATATTTCTTTAAAAGCTTTTTTGCCTCTATTCAGATTTTCAAAATGATAAAAAATGATAAAGATAAAGAGGAACATAATTGTTCTTACAGAATAAACATAGTACATTGTCTCATACATTATAAACACAAACATATTTTAAAAATATTTTGTATAAGTATCCAAACTAATATAGTACACCTTCAATCAAGTATATCAATTGTGATACAATTCTGCCATTTGGGAGAAGGAAAAAAAAAGGGAGATGTTTCAGTATAAAAGAAGGAAAGATGACAGTAATACTCCATATAGATATTTTTTACCTACCAGGTTCTTTCCTGGGTCTGGAGTGACAAATGTAGATTAATGCCTTGCCAAAAGACATAAGAAAACATAAAAACATTAGGAAAAGTGTTTTTTAAATTTCGAAATCTAATCGTAAATATCTTGATAACCAGACAAGCGAGCGGCTGGTAAAAGTCATGGGATTCCTGACTGACCTAAAGGAATTTTTTCCCCTTCCACAGGGATCCTTTATTAAATAATATCGTTCACATTATTATGTATACAAGAATTGATTTTTTTTTTCATGCAGAATTTCAAAATAACATTCCTGGCCATTCAAATATGTTAAGAAAATACATTTATAGAAATCAGTTACAAATTGAAGTTCACTTTAAAAAAAAAAAAAATATCACAGATTTAGTTGGCAAAATGATTTTAGAAGAAATAAACAATCAGAAACACTTTGCATAAAGTAACCAATTTTTAATAAATTTCTGTTCTTTCAGATTTGTTTTACATATATACTTTTCCATGTTATAATAACACTTTATCGCTGATATTATGTTTTCAAATTCTGGCAAAAAATTTCCTAAAAGGAATATAATCATGGTCGCAGCATTAGCTCAATCCAGGATTTTGTTTAAAGCCCCATTGCACTACTTATAGCTACTTGCGCCCCCATGATTCCCTTTTTCTTTTGTTAATTGAGAGCTGATTTGATGAGATAACCACCTGTCGGTGACCATGCAGGGAGGTCTAATCCCTCCCGGCCAAACTAGTGCAGAGGGGCTTTAAACATTCTAAGGCAAAGATACCCAATCCCTTCAAAATCAAGAATATGATACATACACCATTAACGTAACCAATGAACTACAAACAATTAAAAGTTACTTCTTGTACATTAAATTTGATTACGTTACGAAAATGGCCTATTGCCATGCTTGAACTACTACTAAAAGTAAAATTATATCAATTTATTTTCAGAATTGTGCAATACTTTACAACAAAAAACGTATGATACTCATTTTTTTCAATTTAAAAATAGGTGATTTACAATCTAAAAATATCCAGTCTAATGAAAGGACGAACGTACAATATTTACACAATATTAAAATGCACAAATCGCATAACAAATATTTTGTTAAGGTAGAGTGTATAAAACCAACACCAAACACCTTGCATGACATTATATAGGTAAAACAGTTATTGCTTTTTTCCCCCTTCTTTTTTTCTCTAAATTATATATAAACCTATGAACCCGGACCTACAAAATACAAGCTTTGCTTTTTAGTAGATCCCCCACTTTATTGATTGATTTATATGATTATATTCTCTGTTATAACTATTATCATGTACATTATGTTTTCTATATTGTATGTTTAATTATAATAATTACCATTGTTCATTATGTTCAATTATGTTATCTTTGATAAAGTGAAATAAAATAAACTTACTTAAGATAAACTTGAAATGAGAATGATGAAAATAAAGGATATGAAACCCAGTGCAGTGAGAGGGCTCACACACGGAACCCACATTGGTGTAGGGTTCCGCGCACGCCCTATTTTATGCGAGTGACGATGGTGAGTGCGTCGGCCTACTCGTGCGTTAACTAGTCTACTGAACAAGACGTTTTAATGTGCACGTATTATATATTCAAACTGTGATCCCTCTTATATTTGAATATTCTTCTTTCTGAAGCTTTTTTTAAATTTGCTAAACAGAATAGCGACATGAACCCCTTACATCAAGAGCAAGACATTCTTGGGTGATTGATACACTTTGAAGCCAAGTAATACAAGGCACTTTTGCACAGGATTTCTTTAGACAAGGATATTATGATTCGTTTTATAAAAAAGTGGCCTGCATGTACTTCCTTAGAACCTTTAACAACCCAGTCCTATTTTGTAACCACTCAGCATTATAATAGTATGAAAAGAGAAAAATAAGACAAACAGAATGGTGAAAGCTTGAAATAAATCGGACCCATAATAACAAAAACAGCTATGAGTGTTTGAAACATGAGATCACTAAATCTATGCAAATTTCAAATGGACAATTTGGTCTAAATGATTGTGACGCAGTCATGGACAACTCTCCGCTTTGTCATGTAAAAAGCATCATTGATTTATGTTTTTCTCCCAAGTGCCTTCTCTCTTGTGGTAAAACTCAAAATATATTGTGGAGAGCATATGAGCTATATAAATGACAGAAGCTCATGAGTCATAGATTGAGTAAAGATGATAGTTTATTAATTTTGTGTGTTGATAGAAATTTGAAAGTTGTCCGGCACTACGTCAAATGATATTGCAGATTGAAGTGCCCGTACGTAAAGTAGTTACAACAGAACTTTAACAAATGTTTAACATTTTATTTTTTGTCGGATTTCATTGAAACTTTCACCAGCCGTTTATTGCTCTCTTATATTTCAGCTTTCTATTTGGAGTATTATTAAGGTTAGATTTTCTTTTGGGATCTGGATATTCATTAATTATGATCATCGTTCGTTCATCGGGATTTGTTGATGTGTACCTTTCCCGTCATCTGGTGATCGTCTACGACACACGATGACGACGACGACGACGAGTACTATGATGATGATGACAAGGAGAACGATTACCACAATTAGGATTATTAAGGTAATGGGTGTGGTAGTGGGGATGGGTGTGATAGTGGTGATGGGCGGAGTAGGGTCAACTGCAGGGTAGTCTTCGCATCTTGGAAACCCCTCTGGAACCGGAGGCAGATCAGACTGGTTTCCAACGCGGACTAACATCCCCATTCCATCCTAGTATTGAAAAAAGAGATCAATAGAATGAGATATAAATAAATACAAAAAGCACCAACAACGTGACGAATGTGCGTTTTCATTTCATTCTTATGTCCATGATTTAAGTCCATTCTAATTTATCTGATATACGTGTATAACCTTGTAGACCGTATTTAAAGATAAACTTCAGTACTGGTAAAAAAAAAATAAAAAAAAATCTCACAGAATCAAACGAAACTTACACTGAATGTTCAAGATTACAGATAAATGACATGTGCCAAACAATTTTGGAAGAAAATGTATACTGGCTGAGTCATGAGCATAGAAAGACAAGGAAATCAAGGTAGTACTAGCCCCGACACCATGTGTGTTGTCCCATATATAGCTTTCTATATGTCAGTGCTTGTTACTTTACCAAGACTCGGTCAAATTTATTATGATTTTGATGACTCCAGAACCTTGCAGTGCACACCAATACTTACATGCTACATGATCAACTGTTTCTAATCCTTTCCACACCTTTTCTTTCACAATGCAATCGCATTACCAGTACTAAAGTTTATCTTTAAGCATTGAATAAAGTAATACAGATCTTGCGTAATATCAAAATAGATATAACTTGGCGGTCTTTGTGTACCCAATGCCAAAATCTTGATAAGCTAAATGATTACGATTCGAAAGCAGACATAAAGGCAAAAAAAAAAGAAATGCGTCTACGAATTTTCGCAATAGATTTCCATTTGTACGCTTAAAAAACCAACCTTTCAGCGGAGAGATTAATAAAATGTGGCAATTTGTCGCGGCGCTCCGGTCCCCCGGTCCGGTCCTTTCAATTTTAAATCGAATATATCCGGTACGGACACGATTTCGCAGGAGGAGGGGGGGGGTATAAGTCGGACTACTCACACTTTATTATAATTGAAATTTAATTTTTCATCAAAATAAATCAGATAAGATAGGAAGAAACTAACATCAAACGCCCTTACTACTTACATACCCGGGCCCCGTCTTACAAAGAGTTGATATCAATCGTAACTTATTTGCGATTGATATCAATCGTAACTATGTACATAAGAGATAGAAGACTGCAAACTTGCGATTGATTGGAGGACTTACGATTGATTTGGATCGATCGTAACTCTTTGTAAGACGGGGCCCAGGTGTCTTATGCCTGTAGTTGATGAGAAGGTAATTAACCATAATATCGGGAATTTTTATTTGATTCTTATTTGGAGGGAGATCCCCCAGCCCTCCTTCCGTTGAAATTCTGTTTCCCTACCTCCAAATGGTCCTCCATATGGCAGTGTAGCATCCACCATCCCGGGTTGGCGGCAACGAACTCCACGACGGTGTATCCTCCACTTGGAGTCATCACCGTGTCCTTTTCCGGTGGGTTGTCGTAGTTCCTCACGATCCCGCCATCTGTAATGAATAATCATGATAATTATGTTAGTCACATTTGTATTGCTGTTAAAGATAAAGATCAGTTCTGTTCACGCGATTGCATCGTGAAAGAAACGTTGTGAAATCGATCAGAAAAGGTTGATCATCTAGCATATTTATTGGTGTGTACTGCAAGGTTCTGAAATCATCAACATGATAAGAAATTCGGCCCAGTCTTGGTAAAGTTACAAGCACTGTACACAGAAAGATGTATATGGGACTACGCGACACGTGCGCGATATCTATTTGGTCTGGATAGAATTAATAATTTACCAAATATATCAATTAGTAGGCGGTTTCCCGGCAACATTTTGTATCATCACGTATTAGTCAAAACATATGCTTTCACATGATTGGTAATGAGAGCTTCCAATTCATGTTTTCGAGGGGGGGGGGGGGGGGGGGGGGGGGGGGGGGGGGCGTTTCCAAAACTGGTCTATACCTTTAAAGCTGCTCATGCATGGGTATATAGAGGGCAGCACACTGAGCCAACGGGTATTACGATCCCGTTCGTACCAGTGTTCCTTTATACGTACGCCCGTACGGAAGCGTAATTGTATCAGTGTTCGCCAAGTTGCCTACTTTACGAACGACTATATACCCACGCATGAACATATTTAATACTAGATTTCTAAGCGCTTAACATTATTAACTTAACTGTAATTATTATCACCCAGGTTATAACAGACATACCGAAGCTTTTCTTCTTGCACTCATCAGAGTAAACAGCAAGAATGTACATAAAGCCGAAATCGGACAATTTAAACGGAAGCCAAAGAAAGAAAATTCGCGAAAAATAATATAACGGGCTGTTTTCGGCTTTCTCTCAATTAATGCTATTTGCTCAGTATATCTGTATAATTAGTTGCCATTCTTCGAGTTTAGAGTTGCGATTCTATGTTTAGTTACTTTACTACCCTACTGCACTCACGACTTTTTTTAAAGGGAGTGTAGCTTGGCAGATACTGGTTAACGCCATCTACGTCTTCTTTTGGACAATCTTTATATGGTCAGCGCGCTAGCGTTCGCGAAACAGAACGAAGTTCTCCTCACTCTTCGGTTTCGCGTACGTGATCGCTACGTTCACGTCGTCCATAGTCGTAATATACCCGATTTTCCCCGAGTGGACCTCGGGAAAGCCTCATATAGTCTCGTCATGATACATCCCCTTTAACAATGCTTACTTTCATCAAGCCTGATGATGTCCTCTTTGGTGCTGCCGGTCTCTGATCGACCCTGGGCCAGGATACGGAAGGCATGACCATGGAGATGAAAAGGATGATTGACTGGAAACGGGCCAGCGCCCACATCGATGAGAACGATCTCCAATGTCTAAACAAGAATAGAAGCAGTATACCACACACACCAAAATCTAATTTAGATCACATGACGTATTATACATTGAATATCTTAGCGGTCGCAGCGAAAGTAAAAACTATCTCAAATGAGATTATTATGATTTGCTTGATCTTGGAAACGCTATACAAACTATTTTCTTAGTTTGTTCATAGTCACCTGATAATGACGTCGACAATTTGTGATTTAATTGATAAAATGTGTTAGATCTAAAGCATTTGGATTCTCCTCTTCTTAATTTCGTTTTGGCGTCATTGTATATGTCATAATGATGTGGGAGGAAAGATAAGAGCTCGTCAGTGTCTTTTTGCCCCTTTCTCGGAAGGCCGAAGGTTGGGAACAACACCCGATCAATGAACACACATGAATGAAGTCTGAACCGTGATTAAAAGCCTTAGAACCCCTGAGCTCCTGGGGGCTCCGCCCGCTGGACCCTACGCCAATTCGTGACCTGCCAGTGTCACAAATAAGGTATAAAATTATGCTCATCTGAGGATAATTGAATGTATAAAACCTCTGAGCTTATGGGGGCTCTGCCCCCTGGACCCAACACCAATTTGTGTCATGCCAGTGTCACAAAAAGGGTATCAAAATATGCTAATCCGACACTAATTTATTGCCCAAAACCCCTGAGCTCCGCCCCCTGGCCCCCACGCCAACTCGTGACCTGCCAGTTTCACAAATAAGGTATCAAAATACGCTCATCTGACTTTAATTTATTGCCCAAACCCCTGACCTTCCGGGGGCTCCGCCCTCCGGACCCAGGCTAATTCGTGACCTGCCAGTGTCACAAATAAGGTATAAAAATATGCTCATTAATTTTAACGATAATTTAATGTATAATACCCCTGAGCTTCTGCGGGCTCCGCCCCCTGGACATAACACCAATTCGTGACCTGCCAATTTCACAAATAAGGTATTAAAATATGCTCATCTGACTGTAATTTATTGCCAAATCCCTGAGCTTCCGGGCGCTCCGCCCCCTGGACCCCAGGCCAATTCGTGACCTGCCAGTGTCAAGGTAGAAAAATATACTCATCTAACGATAATTTAATGTATAAAGCCCCTGAGCTTCCATGAGCTTCTGGGGGCTCCGCCCCCTGGACCCAGCACCAATTCGTGTCCTGCCAGTGTCACAAATGAGGTATAAAAATATACTCATCTAACGATAATTTAATGTATAAAGCCCCTGAGCTTCCATGAGCTTCTGGGGGCTCCGCCCCCTGGAACCCACCTCAATTCATGACCTGCCAGTGTCACAAATAAGGTATAAAAATATGCTCATCTGACGAAAATTTAATGTATACAACCCCTGAGCTTCTGGGGCTCCGCCCATTGGACCCGCGCCTGCTAGGGGGGGGGGGGGGGGGGGGGGGGAGGGGTACTTTGTAATTTTTCCCTGGAGGAAAGTTGTCTGCAGGAAAACGATGCAGGGGTAGTTCTTTTATAGAATCCTCACTCGACTCACCTGTCCTAAGTCAACTTTTATGTACTGTGTGCAGGCGCAGAACTCGGTGTCACAATTTTCAAAACCATCTTGTTCCACTTCGCATAAAATGTCGTCATAATATCCTTCTGCGGCTCGCTCATCATCGAATTGGGACAGGAGAGGGAACCCGGGGAAATGAAATGTCCGATTGTTTATTTGAGGCAGCGTTTGTTCCCCCCAGCCAGGTCCGCTGGGGCCCAGAGGATACAGGTCAGCATCGTTGAAGGTCGGGTTATTGAGCTGAAGTCAAAAGAAGAAAAGACAAAGATGATAGTCTGGATTTATATAGCGCTTAATACGAAGGACCGACTCTGAGCGCTTTACAAATATACAGTGCGTCCCAGAAAAAACGAAACCGAGAATTATCGATGTTTTATTATAACTTAATCACAATTATAATTAATAAATGACACATATTTGGAAAGCTTAGATCCTCCTCTTTCATTTGATATTTCACGCACGAGTGGTTAAAAACAATTTGAAGAGAGGGAACCAAAACGTCATTTGGCGGCCGGTATCTGAATTTCAAAGAGAAAATCACATTTCTAGAAAGTTCATTTTTTCCCTTTCATATGACATCTTAATCAGAAAAAAATGAGCTAGGGATAACAAAGCTTTGTTTGTTTAAAGTAAGGCTTGCATTTCCATTATTTTATGACACGAATTCGTTTTCATTGGCTGCCTGCCGTAGCAACAAACGGAATCGCCAAAAGACTTAACTCCGTTTCGTTGAAGATCAGCCATAAACGAAAGACTTCATGCATGGCTTATTGTCAACGAAACGGAGTTTTATTTCAATTTCAATTTCCACAGATTCATAAAAGACAGTATAAATTACAATCAAATATAAAAGCATTACAACAAAAGATGAACCTATATGTATGTTCTGTTTTTACAGTATTATGGTTGATATTCGTTATGTATATCTTATTCTGAAATATTATATGATATGATATTCATTGGAACATGTGTTCAAATATGTTATCTTGAGATTGATTTTCAATAAATGACCTGTTGGAGGGTCCTAAAAATTAAACAATAACACATACAAAAACATATAGATATTACATGCAAATCTATGTGTGGGGTGAGTAGTAGTGGGTTGGTGGTACCAAGAAATACAATATATAGAGGAAATGAATGATATACAGGAAAGAAATATTGAGAACAATAGAAAGAAACACCGTACAATTAAATCTTAAGAGTTGGATACGAGATCAAATATTGTTTCAACTTTGACTTGAAAGAATAAAGTGATGAGCAGCTTTGTAAATTCTTTCAGAGTGCGTAATAATAATGATAATAATAATGTAATTATATAGCGCCTTTTCCAAAGGATACAAGGATAAATAATGGTTTTCCAAGTATATGGCTACACTCTGTTTTCAAATTGAATTTTGAATTGAATTGAATTGAATTAATTTTCCTCTGCAAAACATAAAAATCAAATGACATTTCAACGATACAACACTATATAATTTTTTTTGAACGCTTACACAATACAATAATAAAAGAGATGGAACTGATAACACACTATTAAGAATTTATTCATTGCTTGATAGCGTGAATATATAAGAACCTGATATGTTATGATATCAGCATGGAACCCCAAAACATTTAACTAAGACGATGGTTATTGAATGTTCCCCTTAGTATTTTTATAATCCGAATCAAATCTTAAAAGTGAACACAAAATATAACGAAAATATAGTAAGAGGAGAGAGAGAGAGAGAGAGAGAGAGCTTAAGAAGAAGACGGAAAATACTTACTTCACGAATGTCAATGGGCAAGTAGACCCTACGAAATGTATTATTTGTTGCTTGTCTAGATCCTGCGAAGGAAAGCATATAAGGTAATCTGTTATGATATGATATGATATAAGATATGATCAAAAACATTTATGATAACAATCTAGCGAGAAAAAGTAGGTCATTCATGAATATGATGAGTTTTACACAAACATAAGCTTTGTAACGTGAGTAAATGGATATGACCATGGCATTTTAAGGTTTAATACATGATAGCTTATTACAAATAATGCAAGGGGGATTGAGCACAAGAAAACGTCGTCATCAAATCACAACACAGCTTCATAGACTTCAAGATATCTACCAACGTCAGACTTGGGTGCCATGCGCGTCACATTCTTTGCAAGTGCGTACTCTACGTGTGTTCTATGTATTCCACTCAACAAATCGTGCATTTAACTTAAATATCTCTTTGTAGGAGAATCCTTTGAAGCTCTATAGTTTGAAAGCAGGATAGGGAGATGGGACCCCTTACATCATTAGCGAAACGTGTTTTGGTGATCGGTAACATACTAAGTGTTTATATGCTGCACAAGTAACCTCCCTATGCTACAATTAATGAATAGACATATACCAAAGGTTTCCACATTATTCACTCTTTTCAGTGCAAGTGGCAAAATAACGGTATTAAAAAGGGTTTTTATGGAGCTCATCAAGACCGGAGGTGGGTAATTTTGTAATGCCATTGCGTTGCAAAATTCAATCCTTCTGTCAGTTGGTGCCTATAATTTTGTGCAGAATTGCACGTGAAGCAAACGAGCAACCGTTCATAGAGGCGAAGAAAGCTATATAAGTGTTAAGCCAACCTTAGACGTACCTAAGGATCTCAAATCATTAACACTTGGGAACACATTTGGTTCTTGGTCGACATCTTGGTAGACCAACCCTTGTCTATCTACCGACGGATCAGCTGGGGGTACTTCATCAGCTGCACCCTGGTACCTGATCACTGCTAGCCCAACCAGACCCGAACCTTGCTTGGAACCCTCGACCTTTAGCCAGTAGTTGCCGACTTCTTGAGAGGCATTCAGGATGAAATCGTACCTGTATGGTTAAAGGGAGAAAGGATTAAACCGAAACATGTGCTAAACCCTAACTCAATGGCACAAAGTGTAAATATCCACGTAGCATATTTCAACACTTCCCGTTTTCTTTACGTTTCTTCAAATACTGAGAGTCGCATATATATATGATATCAGGCATCGTAATTCATTTACTACATATAAGTGGTGCACAAAAAGTATGATAACTTGACTGAAAGCAATGCTGTAATCGTGATAATTTTCAGGAATACAGGCTGGACTTGGAGTTTGGCAATTTTACGTCTTCACTACCTTTCCTCCACAAAAGAACAACAAAGGCGTCTATTACCTAAACCTCGATGTTGCCTCTATTAGTAAGGATATAGGTCTTTTGGGTAAGACAGTCTAATGAATATTTTTTGAAGCAATGCTGTGCTCCATCTTAATTCCAGGAAGGCTTTATTGACATTTGATAATAATAGCAGTAAGTTTTGTTCTCATCACCTCTCTCCTCCATAGAGGAAGAAAGCGTCGACTTCTAATGGTTCAAAGTCGTCTCCATCGCTAGAGATGAGGGTGATGTTATGACCATCAACAGAGACCTTCATGGGGACGTTGGCTATGGCACTACTAATGACCCGGAAGCGATACCGTTTGCCCTGTCGGAGGTAAATTTGGAATGGACAATGGGGTTATATAATTGTGCCGTAGGCAACCAATATAACATTTTATGGTATCACGTTAAATACAACAATGGTGATAATCAGAGCCGACTACATACAGGGTTTACCCAACTTTTCGTCACTTGGTCACAACATCGCGTATATTATTTGTTTTTGTTTTGTTTTCCCAACAAAGTACTATTAGCCATACTACTACTATCAATGACTCTGAATTTCTGACTCTTTCAAAGTCTCCTGAAGACGGACAGTCAACCTGTCCGAAACGTCGAGTCTACTCTTCTACTCTCCTGCTCCTGCTCTTCAACTCACTCGCCGACTCAAGCCAGCTTCTCTCATCTACTCAACTCTCCAACTCAATCCAGTCTTCTACTCAAACCTCTCATCCTGTCTACAACTTTCTGGTTTACAGTCCTTTTCAGGACTATACTCACTTTCGAAAGATACTCTTCCTTCCAACCTCCACTTTCTCGCCTTTCCATTTCACTTCTATTTCTATCCACTTTCCTTAGTCCTTCTAGGACTTTACACATGGTGTACCGTAAACCTCTTCCGCGATTGTTCATACCACCATGCAAACCTTCAAACATCATCTGACTCTGAATTTGTTTTCGAAATTTAATTCTCATTCAATTGTTCATACCTCAATCACAGTCTTTAAACCATCGAGACCAAAAGGTTTGTAGCCGTTTGGTCAACATCCTGTTCATCTCATCTTCTACCCGATTGGACTTTTCTCATATGGCCTACAACCAGTCTACTATCCACGTGGTTCAATAATCATTTAGTCTACTTATTATTTGGCCCAATGACCATTTAGAATAATAGTCACTTGGTCTAATAAACCTTTAAGATAATAGTCATTTGGTCTAATTTTCATTGGTGTAATCTCCAATGAATCTATCACTCATTTGATATTATTGGAAGTCGGTCTAATTCCCAGTATGTATGATGTCGATTCGGTCTACCGTCCATAAGGTATAATAATAGATGATTATTATAAGTTATGATTACAAAGTTATGCGACCATATGGATAGTAGGCGAACTAGTTGTAAAGCAAACGGCAATTCACCGACCGAAGACATACCAACCACAGACCGAATAAAACATCCCAGTGATACTCAAATGGGTCAAAATGGACCTCAACAGGTTTGGTAACCTGAGGCATCGATTATTTACCTGTGCGACGTTGTAGATCTCCCTTGGCGTCACCGTCGACGTCGATGCATTGCCATATACGGCGAACGCTCCCTTGCCGTTGATGAGTATGGACTTTGGATCGTCCTCGGTGCCTCTGAAATGTTGGTCAAGATAGATACTGACGTGCCCTTGGTGGGTCCAGTCAATGAGAACGACCTTGTGTTCAGGTAAGTCATAGTCATACAGGAGACCCTGAGCATCGACCTGCGTAGTCAAAGTAAAATATGTACAGATTGACCAGAAATGTATACACTGTTGCCTATAAACTAACCCTTACATACTTTAAATGTGCCTACATCAGTTTGCTACATATATATATAGGTTATTTATCCAATTGATTTAGTGGTCTCACAAGCTGTTTCTTCGCCTGAGTTTGATTCTTGTTTGATAAATTGTGGCGTGTTTCGGCGTTTATTTCGAGTTTGTTACACGAACATAATTTACGATGGCTATATTAAAGCGAGCAAGCGAAAATGGATGACTTCTTATTACAGCGACCATCCGTACTTATGACGTTGTTGCATGATATATCTGTGCAGTGGCGGATCCAGCCGGCGGAAAGAGGGTGGGGGGGGGGGCCAAATCCGTGAGAAAATATTAGTGTCGTCTCAGCCGGCCGGCGAATAAGCGGGGGGGGGGGGGCGCTTTTTTTGTGTTATAAAGGTTAACTTTACGTTATTATCCTATTTTTTTTTTTATCGTTCTGGGGGGCTGGGGGGGGGGGGCCGGGTCGGAAAAATCGCTACGTGGATCCGCCCCTGTATCCGTGTATCCATCAAGATTTGAAAAAAATCATATGGCATCTCTCATATGGTAATATCCATAATGACAAATATCGACGACGCATTGATCATAATAAGATTAAAAATTATAACAGTCATGAACGGGTCTCAGATGCAGCTCCACAATATAACCCAGGATTTTTGCCACATCAATCTTTTGCTGTAACTAATGACTTTGTTTTTCTCGTATCAATCATTTCCCTGACAATATTCAGTGACAATACTCGTGTGTTTGTTGTCCTTCTTACTATACTGCCATTTCCGTATACACGTTACCTACCTGTTTAGATTGCCTGATGATCATTGCACCAAAAAGCCCATCGGCTCGTTGCATTCCTGTATGAGCGTGCCAAAAGTGCGTGCCAGCGTGGTCGGCTGAGAAGTTATACCTACGAGAAAAAAAAACCCCGATTCAACAAAAAATTATTTTATTGTTAATTTAATGATAACAATAATAATGATAATAGTTATTATAATAATAATTATTATCATAATGATACAATACTTTTGTTTACCCATGCAGGGAAGCCTGATCAGCTTCATTGCTGTTAGTCGTGAAGGCTCTGCAAATATTTCTACCCCATCAGGCAAATATGGTTGGCAAAGGATGTTAGTGTCGGGCTGGGATTCGAACCCTCAACCCTGTGATTGAGAGTCAATTGAATGAACCACTATACCAAGACACCTCCACAAAAGTGTTCCCTAGCGATTCCAACAGGCCAAAGAGCTGTTGAATAAGTTATCCGGCTGTACCAGTGAAGAGTAATTTACAAGAAATACCGTCACCCCTTACCCAATTATTTGAAGTTGTTCGATTGCGGCTATCTTGGATTAATGTCTAACTATTCAACCACGATCACCAAAACTTTCGAAAATCAATCTGAGGCATTTTCAACTTATCAGCTATTAAAGTATGCGAACACGATAATGACAAATTTCCGAATCCCAACTATCGATCCGATTGCACGAGATAATGGATTAAGTCGATATCTAGAAATCGATATCTAGTCTTTGCGATGGTGTTGTACTTTGGCAGAGATTCGAACCCTGTACCTTGTAATTCCCAAGTCCCATTACTTTTCCACTAGATTAAAACAATTCTAGGTTTACACGTTGACTATCCTGTGTGTAGTTTAGTTTTTACAGACCTGTATCAATCCGATATAATTATTTACGTTTAAGGAGTTTTACGTCATCATCCGGGTGACGTGAATGTGTTTAATTTCGAACCGGGGTAAGATGGAGTCCGTTTTGAGGCGCAGACAGAGAGCTGACAAAGTGAACGTACCGCTTGATTAATTCACGTTTCCCTTTTGACTAACCTGAATGTGGTTCTGGGTAATATGGGACACTGAGTGACCATAAACACACCGTCCATATACTGGTTAGATGTCTGATAAATTCCATGCCAATGTAAAGTGATAGACTCGCCATTATCCATCATGTTGACGGCGTTGACGATGACCTCGTCGCCCTCGCAAACCTGTAGAAGATTTCAATTCATATCAAAATCTAAGGTCCCAGTCACATCGACGAGAACGACACTACAAGAGACCGATGCCAGACCGAACTGTAACATGTGGTATTTCGTTTCAATTCTCTTTTTGTCTCAGTCTAGTATATGTGTATTTTATTTTTTATTTTCTGTATATTAAGTCAGTAGTTTAATTCAGTGAACCTACAGGCAACAAGCCTAAGTATTTAAGTACGTTCATTTCCATATTTAATGATTTACAGAACGTTCATTTTAGATGTTAAAATTACTATGACTCGGGTTTATTCTTTCCATAAAACCTTTTACTGGTTATGTTTTGTAAAATGTATTATAATTTTCATAGAATATGACTAAAAGCAACCAATCAATAAATTTACCTCCCTTGTAGACCGACTGACCAGTATTGGCCTCATGAACCATGGGAGAAGTTGTCAGAAGGCCTTACACATTACTTGACATTCGCGTCTTCCTAACATGAGTGTATGCTTTAATCCTTGATGAATTATGTATATCATTAGCGTTAGACTGGAGCAGTAGTATAAACAAATTGCTACAGAAATCACAAAGTTTATACATGATTTTGACCTACTGGTTTTATCACAGTAATGATGATGATTATGATAATGATAAGCGAATTATAATGATGACGACGACACTGATGATAAGGATAATGAGACGATGACGACGACGGTTATTTAAAGATGGTGACGTAGATGGTGTAAACGAATCATATGCGATAGCCGAGGGTGTTTGAACTGTTTTGAAGGCACCGAGTATACGTATTTTTTGTTGTTTTTGTGTTTGTTTTTGTTTTACTAATGCCCGAACAAAATGATGTGTACTATTTGTTTTATAAAATGATTTATAAAAATAATAAAATTAATATGATATTCTTTAACATGGCTTTAATAATGACCGGTCGAAAGTATTTACTAATGACCGGTCATTACTAAAATTACGTGTTTGGCAAACTAAATGCGTGGTAACGTGTACGCTCTCAGCCAATCATTTGATTAGGATCCGCTTCATCATCTTATAAAATGTAGATAATAATTATAAAATAGATGGCATTGATGTATTATAAACATGATCACAAAGTAGATGATAATGATGAAGTCGATAATGATGGTGATGTCATGATTACTTACCTCGATGGCAGGTCCCGGTAGAGCCCTGTTTGCGACCATGATTTGTCTAGGAACCCCGTCTGCCGGTACGCAATGAACCCTCTCGCAATCACTGAGGTTGCACGGACAGTCGTAACAGGCTTTAGCCATGGTGTAATACCACTCTACAACAAATGTGTACTCACAGCTCATCGGCGCAGAACTAGTGCAGTCTCTTGAACAATGATGAGAGGGCTCGGCTAAATTGATGAAAGAATAGGAACGTGTTTTAAGGAACACATGCAATTATTTTATGGCACATTTACTCTTTTAATTTAGTTGGGTAATATTTCCTAAATAATGGGTTGTGAGGGGGGAATGTGCGGATAACAGTTACCCAATATTAGGTACATTTTACCCGATACTGGGTACAGTTTTACCCTCAAACATTGCCCATAAAGCTTGGATTCTATTTCTTATCTGTTTTCATGAAGTGACCGTGAAAATATGGTTTATTCTTAAGAGAAAAAGTAAAAGTCTTCTCAGGAGAGTATAGATGAATCCAAATAGTCATATGGATTGATCAATGTTGTTCTGAAAATAAATAACATTTAATTATATCGAGAATAAACCATATGTCATAATCATTTCATGATATTAATTGAATTCAATTGATGAGTCGATATCGTCTTTCGTCACAATACATTTTTATTTGCTCAGCTTAAAAGCTTTAATATATAAACCATGGAAACAGGTTATTGTTTTATTTCGGTCTTAAATAAACACTTATAAACCTTCTGTTTGTTTTTTCGTTTCTATAAAAGATACTATCAAAATATAAACATGTTGAAAACAAACAAACACTTAGGTATCCGCTGTGACTAATTTCTGATTTCCCTTATTATCTGTAAATATGTTATTTGAGTTAATCCCAAATGACAAATATTTAACTTCAATGAAAAATTATTGAACTATTTTTCTCTTTCCCAATTTACTTAGATGTAAATCCCAATTTATCCACGATTAAAACAGCTCAATACAAGAATGTCAAAATGTAGTCGCAAGATGAATCTTTAGATTTCAATTCAATTAAATGAACATTGATTTCCTCCTTATAATGAAAATGAAAGAAATCATGAGATACATGTTCCTGCGGTGCAGCCACAACAAAGCAAGCATACATGAATAAGATAATAATTTGAAACTACATGAGATAGACCTACCTGGTGTTGCCATAAAACTATCAAAGTTTAACGCGGGAGGCTCTAGCGTTGAGTTGCGGAGGCAGTTTGGACCTGGAAAAAAAAGGAAGAAATAATCATTCACAAAATTGTTTTCGACCTCATTCTTCTCCAGATAGAGGTAGAAAACTAAATATGAGTATTGAATATTGATGTCGTGAATGGATGAAAATAATAATGGTAATAATAATAATAATAATAATAATAATAATAGAGGGTTCTTGTAGAGCGCTTATGTCTGTCAGATTTGACTCTCCTGGCGCTCCAGATTTATTACCCCGGCTTTAGCATGGCCGCCATTATGGCGCTCTAGCATTTCAAGATATTAATTTTTACCTAGGTAGAGTGTGGCAATTGGGTAATGAAGATTAAAGTCTTGCCAAAAGACATTAGAGCCGCGGTGGGACTCGAACCGCGAACCATGTGATCCACATTATCGACTAGACCACGACACATTTACAATCATATGACAGCCTATATTCCAGCGTTGTGTGAGGTGGGCGCGGTAGGAAGGGGGGGGGGGGGGTGGCGGCGGGTTGGTGAGAAATTTCCAGACAGTCATATTTTCAAGGATCATGATTTCTAAATTCTCTCCTTAAAAGGCTCGTTTATGCTTTTGTATGAAAAGGGGGAGGGTCAGCTATTTCGACCCGCAGGCACATCAATGTACGTCAATCCATATCTGATATTGATTAACATTCACGACAGGGCCGTCGTGTAAGGACATGTTGGAAATCAGTAATCATCAGGAAAAAATGAAAGAAAAAGAAAGAAAAGGGATACTTCTAACTATACTACTACTACTACTACTAATAATGATACACATGATTTACATATATTACGAAGAATAATGTTATTTATCCTCCTATTTCGACTATCTATATTGCTTCTACTACTACCAGTACTACTAAAGTACTACTAGTAGTACTGCTACTACAACTACTACTAGTACTACTACTACTACCACTCCTACTACTACTACTACTACTACTTCTACTACTACTGCTATTACTAATTATACTACTACTACCATTAGTTCTACTACTACTTTGCTGAGATCAAGAACGTTTAGTTTCATTATCATTATTATCATTATTGGTATTAGTAGTAGTAAAAGTAGAAGGAGTAGCAATATTAGTATTTCCGCAGGAGTTTTAGCATGGCTGCCATTAATTACCCGCACAATGCCGTCAGAAGTTTGGGTTTAGCAGTAGATCGGACTCAAGGGTAAGTAATACCTGCTATAAAATGTCATACTTCAAAACTCCTTCAATGATCATGTTATTGTTATGAGCAGGGAAATAAAGTCAATAGAGGGATATGCAGGTAATATCAAATTTAATGGAGTTTTGAAATATAATATTTAGCACTAGGTCATTAAGGTCATAATTATCTCACTGTTCCCTTAATACCCGGAGACTCACCGAGCGACGAAAGGGTATTTCTTTATTGACCTACAGGTTAGCTGTGTGCAGACTTGTAAAGACATTGATTGTATTTTCACCAAGTCTGGTGTCAGCGAATTGTGGCCTTTTGCACATGGAAACTGACGACCCACTACCTTTTAACCTAAAATGGAACCGATCAAAACCAACTGCAATCCTCTGTCGTTGAGTAAATAATGCCCGGACCAAAATCCGACAAAAGCAAATCTCGGATAACCAGACAAAAATTTGTTGATGATGACCAGAATATATGTGTAGAAATAAGCGAAATGACTCGGAGGACATTTAAATGAATATATACATAGCAAAGGTATTATCATTTTGAAGTCGATAATAAAGCACGATCGGCAGGACTTTGAAATTGAGTTACAGATTTCAATGATGATAACAATATAGTGGGTTTTTGTATAGCGCTCATATATGTCAGACTTGACACTCCTGGCGCTCGACAACTATTGCCCCGGCGTTAGCAAATTTTGAATAGTCTGAAGAAAGACAAAAAGACCTACTTCTCCATAGAGCAGGTAGGAGATGTGTAAGAAATAACTTCACATCAGCAGAAAGTACAAAACTCACAGGATAATTTTAGACTATTGCTATGAGTAAATCGTGCCATTCCTGAATAATTGCGTTTTAATCGAGAGAGAGAACATCATTAAAGTCACTAAAATTGGAACTGGAGTGTGAAAATTAAAATCACTAGGTCTTTGTACAAATTGGCAATTTCTTGTTGAATTGTTTGTAAACCTGATGACCCAACAGTCGAGCTTATTTCGTTTCATCGGTTATTTGTGTCTAGTCGGGTTTGTCTGAGGTACTTTCCTGCTGTGTGGGTTCTATGCCTCTGAGCGATACTCAAAACAACACAACTAGCTGGATTAAAAAGCTTCCTCGGTAGTCTAGACGAGGCGGAGGTTAAAGAGGGTTCTGTTGATCAGTCATACTACAATGCGTATAAAAAAGCGTATTCAAATTTGGTAGCTTCTAATTGAAAACGTATAACACGTGTGAACTTGAAAAACATCTCATGGTGAAGGGTATCCTTTATTATAAGGCTCTAATATAAAAAAAACTCTGCTGTAACGCCGGATGACCAGGCAGCAGGCCTTTGAAAAACGATTGTCAAAATCCTCTTGTACCAAGTTTGGGCTGAAGCAATGAATGTGGATACAAATCCATAATGTGTGTTTTATCTCATTCCAAATCAATTGCTCACATTTTTACACTGACTATTATGCACTTTAACAGCCAAGGTGTAAGATAAACTCAAACTCAAGGAAATGCTTAGTACTAGCAAAAATTATATATGGCCTTACCCACATTCGTTCTATCAGCCCAAACTTGGTACAAGGCGATTTTGGTAGCAATTTTTAAGACCAAGGGGCTGAGTCGCCCGTAGCAGAAACATTATGAATATGGTATCATTGGACAAAAAACAAGTTTCTCTTCACTATGGAATAGAGTGCAGGCTGAGAGTTTTATATTGGTACATGAATTTAACAGTTCATTTATTTATACTCCTTTTAAATTATATATGTTTCGTGTTTATCGTTACTCATGAAAAAAAGGTTAAATGGTTGTATATTAAGCCGTTTTTTGAATACTTTTAGATGTAAGCTTTACTATAAATGGGAAATCAATTATTAACATAATTAAAGGATTACAACAATTGGTAAGCGTATGGGTAATTTCCTATTATTTTACGCAATAATAACCAAGCATTTCACTGTGTTTTCATTATCATGTTTTTCTTATGGATTATGTAATATATGCCCATAGTTACTGAATAAATAAATACCCCCAAATAAATGAAATTAAATAATAAACAACTGTTATATAGTGTTATAACAATTTGATGATAAAGTCGTTACATACACATATGCAATATGAAATGCCAGAACTCACTATACTTTATTTAAAGTGAAATAATGGAATTGAGAAAAATGAATAATAAATCACAAGGCAATAATTATATGACTATTGGAAAGCTTACTAGAAAATTCTTGTAAGATGCATGGGAAATCCACTGACCAATACTACCTACTACTACTACTACTACTTCTACTACTACTTCTACTACTTCTACTACTATAACTACTACTGTTGTTGTTGTTGGGTAATTGTTTATTGGCGTTCATTCAATGTTGAATATATACGCCATAATTATTTTTAATTTTATAAGGAAAATCAGTTATAAATAAGAAAACTGAGGATAAAGATTTGTAATGATATAATTAAAAAGTAACGCAATTTTTTAGGAGTCTCTGGATGGTTTGCAACTTCGTGTTTCTGCTTTTTTTTTTTTTAAAGTTTAATCTGGTCAGCCCGGTTTCGATGGCATGGAAAACTAGCTTTGGATAACTACTACTACTACTGCTACTATTACTAATACTACTAGCACTACTAATACTACTACTGCTACTACTACTACTACTACTACTACTGCTACTACTACTACTACTACTGCTGCTGCTGCTGCTGCTAATGATGGTGATGATGTTGATACTACTACTGCTACTACTTCTACTACTACTACTACTACTACTACTACTACTACTACTTGTAATAATAATAATAATAATAGTCCTACTACTACTACTACTAATAATAATAATAATAGTAATTATAACGATAATACTAAAAGCTGGGGCTTCATTTGCTAGCGTAGTCCTGTGGGCCCTGCGATTATTATAACCACAGCAATGCCAGGTACCCATTTACATCTGGGTGGAGTGTGGCGAATTAGGACTAACGTCTTGCCAACATTTTTAAATTATTTTCTCCCAAATCAAATACATATTGTACAAATCATTCTTAACAAAACTGAATGCATTGTACATTGATATTTTGGATTAAACAACAATTGCAATAATAAAATAATAAAACTGTTTGGAAAACATTTTTATAAAAATGATCAAGAATATTAAAGTAAACATGAGAGAATTTGTTGGGTCTATTCTCCCATTCCCTCCCCCGTTAAACATACTCTCAACATCCTCACCCACACACCACCACCCCTACCATGCGACACACGACACACACGTACACCACCACCCGATCACACTTCCACACATCTACCACACACTGTTCCTAGCCTCCTCAGAATACTCCCCCAATTTGGAGCGACAGAATAATAGAAATAATCTTTAAACAAAATTTGAAGAAATCATTAAAACGAGGCTACAATAACCCCATTATTAAAAGTCATCTCCAGAAGCTTGCGAAAAGGAGCTTCTGAGAAAGATGCAAAATGAAATATAATGATTTTGCAATGTTACTTACTCTGCGCTTTGCTCAAGTTGACGAACGTCGCCAACCAGGCGAAGGCCCAAACAAGTTTCTTGAAGTCCATTTAAGCTTCTACCACGTTATTACCACTTTCTTTCGTGGAAGCAGGCACACCGAATGACGGCTGACATCCAACTGTTTGCGAGAAGCGTGAGAAATGTTAACGCGCTAGTTCAATCCTGACTATTATTGCAGTTTCTTTTGTTACCGCACCCAAGCGTATGACGAAACTGCTACCCAAATTTTAAACGACACTCCACTCGGGCCGCACCACCTTGTTCGGTCTTACCTGTACTTCGTCCGGAATGCGCGTATGGCGGACGGAACGTGCCATATTCATGACAACTATACGACTATACACCCATTCGATGGATGTATAGTTTTAGCCAATCAATACGCAGGAACCGTACGACTATACAACTATACAACTATACGACTATACAACAATACAACTATACAGCCAAGGGTTTTAACTACTGCACGTGCAGTAGTTTCTCTCTGCTCGTACAAAGATAAACCACTGAACAGGGGTTTTAACTACTGTTGCCATTCTGTTTATGTTTTTTTTCTTATACTTTCATCGAAATCTACCTATTAAACGGATTGGATTGCCCTTGAAATATAAAACCTTTACAGTATAGCGTGAGCTGTGGACAATGAACATCTCCGTTCGCAGGGCCGTAGTGTTACGTTCAAGGATGTCGCAGAATTGTTGTTGTTATTGATAGGTGATTAAATAAAATATCTTACTGGTACAATAGATCTGACCTCATCATCCTCGTGGCATAATCAATAGTCTATTGTATTACCTGTAATGCTTTATCTAAGATAAAGCATTACAGGTAATACAATTTTTTGGTATGGGGTCATGAATTTGGTTCAAATGAACATATTGGAAGCATATATGCGATCTTACAATATTCGGTGATCGTTGTCTTGGTTGTTATGAAATTGTAAATAATAACCTCTTTATGCTGTATAGCTCCCTCTCAAGGTCAAGATATTAATAAAGCTATAAAACAATGTTCCTGACCTCATCATCCTTGTGGCATAACCATTAAATAAAGCATTAATGAAGGTGTCAGTTTTCTTTTCTTCACACGCTTTATCCTTCTCTTCCTACGACTTTAAGCCCATGCACCTTAATTTTCTATAATTGTCTACTTTAATTTCTCACACTATGCTCATTTCCCTCTCCAATCTGTCTCTGTCAATTTCACATGCATTATGGCTCAAGGCATGGGCACATAGAGGGTTTTTTTTTATGTTGGGGACCGGGGTAAAATGCAATAAATGATTTAAAATTTATTGCATTTTTTGGGGGTGTAATTTATGGAAACTGCCCCCTACCCTAGCCCTCGCTGCGTACAGTCATGGTTCAGTGACAAAGCAATGGCCTCGTAACTGTGAGGCCCCAGGATCAAAACCGTGTCGATATGCTTTATTAGTGCCCTTTTGTGGGGCATTAATCCTCATTACTGTCATTTATGACTTCAGGGCGTAGGTCAAATTGTAATAATATAGTTGGGAGAATTGAGGAATCGATCAGATCAGTTTTCCCCAAATTCACTCAAATGTTCAGATTATCTTTAATTGTACATCTAACATTGAATTCACTACCTTTCCACCATTTTCTCTTATCTTAACAATGTTACAAATTTATGCATAGTTTATTCAAAATAGTGCAAAGCGAGTCAATTTTCCAAGTGAAATATCTTGCTTGATTTATTACCTTTGAGCGCATGTTCACGGTTTTCTGTGATCAATTTTACAATTTGACCTCTAATTTAACCCATTAGTGAAATTCATCGCTTTGACCAGTTCCCACCTTTAAAGCAGTCCCTACACGTAACGAGACACGTTCCGCCCCTGCCGTTTATTTTCTTTAGAAGTCTGTTTCTAACATGGAATTAATTTTGCTGTGACTCACATGATTAACCGGATGGAAACATTCAAGTATGCTTGCTTGACATTATTAGTGATTTAGTAGGAGTAGAAATATGGCATATGCTCTCTGACATTGTGAGAAAATCGGATTTCCTGTATTAAGTATAAAGGATGTACCAACCGCATACTGTTACAGCTTCGTTCTCTACTCTCACGAATGGTTTCATCGTCAAGTGGAGGGACCATGGCTCAGTGATGAAGCAGTGGTCTCGTAATAGATGTAGCTAATATCATCATCATTATTATGAACGATTGTTAGTGTCATATTGCTCAAAGAAATATCCTTCTTGGACAAATTAAAGGTGAACCAAATTTGTTTGAAACACATTTATGATATTAAATCTAATTAAATTAGAAGTCTTATTGCATTAATGAAAACCTATTACTGGCCTGAACTTATGTTTGTCAAAATAAAACTTTGAAGAGATCCCCTCCAACAAAAATTGGGAAAAAGTGAGAAAAAAAAGTAAACGACTTTGAATTGTAAAATAATGAATTATGATTACGTTAATTGTTCGCGTGATGAACACATGTCTGTATTTGAAATTTACATGGCGTATCAAATTTATTTGTGTACTCTACATGACACTGTAACCTTTTTATTTCGAGAAAATCGGATTTCCTGTATTAAGTATGAAGGATGTACCAACCGCAAACTGTTACAGCTTCGTTCTCTACTCTCACGAATGGTTTCATCGTCAAGTGGAGGGACCATGGCTCAGTGATAGAGCAGTGGTCTCGTAATAAATGTAGCTAATATTATCATCATTATTATGAACGATTGTTAGTGTCATATTGCTCAAAGTAATATCTTTCTTGGACAAATTAAAGGTGAACCAAAGTTTTTTTGAAACACATTTAAGATATTAAATCCAATTAAATAAGAAGTCTTATTGCATTAATAAAAACCTATTACTGGCGTGAACTTATGTTTGTCAAAATAAAACTTTGAAGAGATCCCCTCCAACAAAAATTGGAAAAAAGTGAGAAAAAAAGTAAACGACTTTGAATTGTAAAATAATGAATTATGATTACGTTAATTGTTCGCGTGATGAACAAATGTCTGTATTTGAAATTTACATGGCGTATTAAATTTATTTGTGTACACTACATGACACTGTAACCTTTATATTTCGAGAAAATGAAATGCACGTTGTTTCATAACCATAAATCTTAACATCCTTTTTGAGTTATGTCTACAAAGTACACTTTTTATCAATTTTTCTCAAGTTTGATGATTCGATGATACATTAATACAAATTTCAGGACATTTGAATCATGGTTATTATGAAGTTTTTGTTATATATATTTTTTTAAATTTATAGGTTCGCTTTCCCGAAGGTTCATATTTCAGAAAAAAGAAAGAGTTTACAATCTAAAAAATGAAATGGCTTCTTCTTACATGCTCAGAATTGCAAGAATTCTGTATATTGAATCCTGTTTCATTTTCTTTTCATCACGAAAAAAAAAACCCTGGCCGGGTATATATCAGTATTATGTTCTACTTAATCAAACTTTCCCAACTGTGCATCGAGATAGAAACTCGGGGATTTACCTTTCAATAATTTTGGATGAATACAAACATGTATATGATAGCATGTGTGTATTGTATATTCAGTGTTTTTTCTTAGTTCATGAATTTAAAAATTAATAGGGCTTATTTAGAGTCGGAAACGGTATAACGAATCGTGTTCTTTCTCTAATAATTTAAGGAAACGTCAAAGCTTCCGCGCTTCGCGCGAGAGGGGGAAACTGAATTAAGACAAAATTAATAGGGCTTATTTAGAGTCGAAAACGGAACAAAGAATCGTGTTCTTTCTCTAATAATTTAAAGAAACGTCAAAGCTTCCGCGCCTCGCGCGAGAGGGGGAAGCTTCATTCAGATAAGGATTAAGAGTCGATAACAGTACACCGAATCGTCTGCTTTTTCTCATAATTTAATGAAACGTCAAAGCTTCCGCGCTTCGCACGGGAGGGTGAGAAACTGAATTCGGACAAGGATTAAGAGTCGAGAACAGTACACCGAATCGTCTGCTTTTTCTCATAATTTAGTGAAACGTCAAAGCTTCCGCACTTTGCGCGGGAGGGGGGGGGGAACTGAATTCAGAAAAGGATAAACAGTCTAGAACGGTACAGCAAATCGTCTTCTTTTTTATAATAATTTAAGGAAACGTCAAAGCTTCCGCGCTTCGCGCGAGAGGGGGAAACTGAATTCAGACAAAATTAATAGGGCTTATTTAGATTCGAAAACGGAACAAAGAATCGTGTTCTTTCTCTAATAATTTAAGGAAACGTCAAAGCTTCCGCGCCTCGCGCGAGAGGGGGAAGCTTCATTCAGATAAGGATTAAGAGTCGATAACAGTACACCGAATCGTCTGCTTTTTCTCATAATTTAATGAAACGTCGAAGCTTCCGCGCTTCGCACGGGAGGGTGAGAAACTGAATTCGGACAAGGATTAAGAGTCGAGAACAGTACACCGAATCGTCTGCTTTTTCTCATAATTTAGTGAAACGTCAAAGCTTCCGCACTTTGCGCGGGAGGGGGGGGGGGGGGAACTGAATTCAGAAAAGGATAAACAGTCTAGAACGGTACAGCAAATCGTCTTCTTTTTTATAATAATGTAATGAAACGTCAAAGCTTTCGCGCTTCGCGCGGGAGGGGGGGGGGGGGTGGGGTCTTAATTCAGCCAAGGATTACCAGTCGAAAACGGTACAATTAATCGTCTTCTTTTCCTAATAATTTAAGGAAACGTCAAAGCTTCCGCACTTTGCGCGGGAGGGGGGGGGGGAACTGAATTCAGAAAAGGATAAACAGTCTAGAACGGTACAGCAAATCGTCTTCTTTTTTTATAAAAAAATAATGAAACGTCAAAGCTTTCGCGCTTCGCGCGGGAGAGGAGGGGGGGGGGGGGTCTTTATTCAGCCAAGGATTACCAGTCGAAAACGGTACAATTAATCGTCTTCTTTTCCTAATAATTTAAGGAAACGTCTAAGCTTCCGCGCTTCGCGCGGGAGGCCCATCACCCACACCCCCCTAATTAGCGCGCTTTTAAGTGATTCTCTTGCTCAATACCGCGCCTCCCTAAAATAAGATCCTAGCTATGCGCTTGCATTAAAATATATAGCTATGATGCTGACTAAATTGAAGAAATAATTCGTATATTTATGTCGTCTAGGAAAATGACCATTTTGCGTATATGCAACTACTATAGATAGTCCATAGAAAAAACAATTTTGCCTTCGGCCCCAGGTTTATAGGGTTGAATTTGTAGATATTGGACATTTAGTTAGTTTTGTCGGTAATGGTTGGTCTCTACACCCCCCCCCCCCCCCCACTGAAAAAGGTCTAGCGACGCCCCTGAATAGACCTACTCCAAAGATGGCTTCAAACATTTCTAAAATTCTATAGAAAGTCCTTTTAACTGTTGGTGCACACTAACATCGAAGTTTCGATTTTATTAGGATCGTTAAAACTAAAAACATGAAGCGGTCGGCACGTTCTTGCGTGTCGATTAATCTCCAAACTTTCATCGCACATCGACGACCAGCACCATGGGTTTCGATCCCGGGGGGGGGGGGGGATGGGGGGGATATATCCCCCCCAATATTGCAGGTGGGGGGGATGGCCTGTACAATCATCCCCCCCCCCCAATAATTCACCATCAAAAAAAAAAAATGAAGAGAAAAATTAAGGATGAGAGCCCGATGAGAGTAGTTAATGGTTATTACTCGCAAGATGACCATCAATATACACATTTTGCTATTTCATTTTCATAATACATACATATATACGAAGCAAATAAGCAACCGTATATGAGACAAGAATAAATTGAATTCTCGCTCATACGGCTTCATCAGGAATTGATGAATTTTTTTCTCAATTTGTTCAATCAACAGCATCATAGAAATGCAGTGCGCCAAATGCAAAGACGCAGCGTCAAAAAGCAACGAGCTAAATGTTAAGCGCGAAGCGCAAAAATAGCAATCTGCAATGCACATCAGACAATCCTGGACAGTGTAAACATAAATGAACTCTGTGACGATTTCGTGATGAGATCGGAGACAAGGAGAAAGATTTTTGGACATTAGTATGACTTATAAAATAGTTCTCTAGTTGTTATGTTGTTTCCGTTCACCCTTTTTAAAATCCACGTCATTGTATCTTTATTTTTGTTTTTTTCACTCATTTTATTTCCTGACATTTCCCAAAAGATTTTTCATTTTTGGAGAAAGATTATTATGGCACAACTTATTTGTAACACAAATTATTTTCAGTGGGGAAACTGAATTCAGACAAGGATTAATATAGAGAACAGTACAACGAATCGTCTTCTTTCTCTAATAATTCAGTGAAAAGGGCAAAGCTGTTAGGGGGAACTGAATTCAGACGTGGATTAAGCGTAATAATCAAATGAAACGTCAAAGTACACGATACAACGAAGCGTCTTCTTTTACGAATAATTTAATGAAACCTGAAAGCTTCCGCGCTAAGCGCGGAATGGGCGAAAATGAATACAGACAAGGATTAAGAGTAATAATTTATTGAAACGTTAAAGCTTCCGAGCTTCGCGCGGTAGGGAGGAAACTAAGTTCATGAAGGACACGATACAACAAATCGTCTTCTTTCACTAATGTGAAAGCTTCCGCGCTTCGCGCAGGAATGGGCGAAAACGAATTCAGACAAGGATTAAGAGTCGAGAATGGTACATAGGATCGTCTTCTTTCTTTAATAATCTAATGAAAGGTCAGAAGGGGAAGGGGAACTTGATTCAAACATTAAGGATTAAGAGTTGAGAATGGTCTAACGAATCGTCTTCTTTCTCTAATAATTTAGTGAAACGTCAAAGCTTCCGCGCTTCACGGGGGGGGGGGAACTCCCCCTCCCTGCACGCAACCCCCTAGGGACCGCGCTTCGCGTGCTCACTACCGCGCTTGGGAGGGGTGCAACTTGCCACACGCTTCAATTTGCGGGTAGGCGTACGTGCGTACTCAAGGTTAAACATAAATCCAATCATAAAAGACGAAGGATATGAATATGCAGTTTCAAGATATGGAAGATCCACGATTCATGAATCCAAAATTTAAGAATTAGTAAGATGAGACGACTTGAAAGTATTGTCTACCCTTCATAGCTTATGTGTAATTAACTATATGAAGTGACTTGCCTGATGGCTTCAACCCTTACTAAAATTCTAAAAAAGTTCTTTGAACTATTTGTGTACTTTGCTGCTTCGATGTATAGATTTTTATTGCGATCGTTAAAAAATAAATAAAAGACCGGTTGGCACATTTGTGCGTGTCATTTCTGGGGAAACAAAATAAACAGCCAACCGCTGAAAGAGAATGTCGAGCTTTATTCATGCGATTTTGATATGCATAAGCCTATCTTTAAGAAATTACAAAAAGGTGATTTTGTAAGTACAAATGAAATGATGTAAACTTTAAGATTTGGAATGGCCAAAACGGAAAGGTAGTCAATCTTGCATTGTGGCATAATTCAATTGGTCAAAGCCTTTCATCCTTTTCTTGTCATATTACGAACAAAAGAGCATTTTGAAGAAAGGCAGCTTTGTTTTACAAAGCTCACAAATTATTTTCCATCTTTACAAGAACCCAATCGTTTCTTTAAGCGTGGGTATTGCCCCAGTAAAGACATCAACTTTCCAAACAAAGTACTTCGATCTTATTCGCGCATCATATCAACCACAGCTCTCATCATGGCGAGGACGTACTTTGTTCTCTTTCTCTCTGTGTTGATGTTTTCCGGTAAGAACTGACTTTCATAAATCTATCCACGGATAAAAGCTTTATCATGCACACTATGCCAAACAGATATATGCCTTATAATGGGGATGTCCAGCCTGATATTAAGTTGGTTTGATTACAAACGAAAAAAAGAAATTGAATTAATTTGTGAAAGTTTGCGAAAAATGCGATGTTGAATAAAAACATTTCGATTGTTGTTGTCTTCTTTGAAATGTAGTAAATCAAACGCACACTGGACGCTTCGTGAATTACTTTCTTAGATTCTCTTTGTACTCAAATCATAATGTGAATTTGACAGATAACTGATTTTTCATATTTGCTTTTACATATATTTGTAGCATATACAGTGCATAAACTAGAATATCTGGAGTTGTGGAAAAATCAAATGGGAGCTCAATTGGAAGGAAGTAAGCAAGGGAGATTGGGTTCTAGGACACCTACCCCCTGGACATCCGACCCCCGGATGACCACCCCAGTCAATTGCCCCCTAGGAAAACTACCCCCTAGGGCGACCACCCTCTAGGACGACTAACCCCTGGGACGACTACCCCTCGGACAACTACCCACCCAGACAACTACTCCCTTGGACAACTACCCCGGGACAACTACTCTACACGACAACCATCCTCTAGAACAACAACCCCGGATAACTATTGTAGGGGGTAGTCGTCCGGGGGCAGTTGTCCTAGAGTGTAGTTGTCCTACGGGGTAGTTGTCTGGGGATTGTTGTCCGGCGGTATTTGTCCGGGGGGGGGGGTAGTCGTCATAGAGGGGGTTACCTTAAGGGTAGTTGGCTTGGGTGGTTTTCCTGGGGTGGATGTCCAGGGGTAGGTGTCCGTATACGCTGCATTTGCCATCCTCAATCAAGGTCAAAATTGAGAGGAGAAAGTGCTTACATTTCTTGCTTGCAAGCTTGAATCCGATGACCGGATAAGCACCTTTAAGCACCTATGGGAATCGTAGATATATTAAGTGCTATGTATACACAGAATATGCATAAATCTCTTATTCTTGTAAACTGAAATTTATTCTCCAAACTTGTCAGGTACTGGAGGAAAGCGAACCGAGGAATGCAAACCAATCGTTATAAACAAGAAGGAAGTACCTCGTACAGAGACATATCATAAAGATACTACGCGATCCTTTGGCAAACCTGGATCGGCTCTATCGCATCCGGTGATGAAGAAGTCTTGCAAAAACGGTAAATAAATCATCAGGATATAGGCACCTTACTGAGATTCTCAAGGTTGATAGTTTTAAAGGTTTTTAGACCATAATGTGAAATGTAATATATCTACATGACTGTGTCTGTAATACACGTGATAAAATGGTTCTGATGTAGCCTATTAAGACAGTGAAACAGGACCAACCTCTTGTGAACATTAACAATTATTGTTTGATTAGTATACAAATAATACACTGCAGTGAGGGCATTAGTAAGAATTACCAACACAAGGTACCTTTGGAACAGTCTAACACGCCCGAGGTGGTAGCCGAGGGTGCTTGGACTGTTTTGAAGGTACCGAGTGTGGGTAAACTTTGCTAATGCCCGAAAAAAATGCTGTTTATTATTTTGTTTATAAGATTATGTTTTATTTGTTATATGAAATGATATTTTATAACATGATTCTGTTAATGACCGGTCATTAGAATTGGATAATGACCGGTCCAAATTACGCATTAGGCAAAATAAATGCCTCGTCACGACACGTGTACGCGTTCAACCAATCATTTGATTACGATCCACCGTCCACGTCATCATCGTATAATACCTATTAACACTAGGGGCATACCTTCGAATGTTCCATTGTGCTCTCGTAGTAAAGATAAAGGTAATACATCTAATAAAGAGAAGGTTCATTGGAATTTGAAAAATAGGTAAATTATACCTCAGTCTACAGATTGCTGAGTGCGTTAAGAAAACGAGTAAAGTACTTTTTAAGCCTTCACTAGTGTGAGAAATAAATAAATGCAATTTTGATACCCACTCAAGAACCCATTCACAAATTGAAATGACGGTGATAAAACATATGGTATAGTGTGACGTCACCGAATGAGCTACCGTACATCACACATTTGGGACAATGTTGGATGCCCATTGCAATTTTTAGATATGGGTTGAATGTTGTTTGTATAACTACCGCCAGTGAATAAATAATACTTTCTACAACTGTTTGTTTGATTCTGAAGAAATTTCCGTCACATTTGAGCATAATAATCACATATTTTGAGGGCATGTTATTGTGTACGTGTCTAATCTAGGAGTGCGAAGGTCATTTTGCAAGCTGACATAACGACTGTTTTGGAGCAAAATAGGCGACATACTTACATAAAATCTCACTAAGCAGCGAGTGCTTGCGTAGCAAAATTGGGGGTTTTGCGAGGGTTCGTAAACGGTTGCAAACGTATCGTTGAAGGTTTTCATTGTCGCAAACAGTTTTTGTTGTCGCAAAGACATTTTTAACATTTTCAAAATTTCTTTGCGACTTTTTTTTCCCGCAAACACTTGCAAGCGTTTGCAAAACAGTCGTAAGCCTTTGCAAACGGTTGTAAGACGGTGTCGCTGAAGTTCTTTTTGACTCGCCAACTTTGCTTGCGACCATTTGACCATAATTATGCTTCCCATATAAAATTAACCCATTGAGTACTATGAGTTAGCAAAAGGTCCATAACAGTCACAAATAATGGTAAAGGATTGTCAAATAGTTGCTAATCATCTCAAAAACTGTTGCTAACATTTGCTTACAGTCGGTGGGATACCCCCGTAAAACAGATATTTTTGTTGTTGTTCTCAAATCAGCCAGAGAAACAACTCCACCTGTAGACACCGTTGCCAATGTACCACGTGACTGTGCTGATATTCAGGGTAGAGGGGAAAATATCAGCGGTATCTACGGCATTCATCCGCGTGGAGTGAAGAACCCGTTCAACGTCTTCTGCGACATGGAGACCGCAGGGGGTGGTTGGACCGTGAGTGAGGAATTAATGTTCATACACATGTTTTTTTTGTGTCAGTTATTGTATATGGAAAAATGCAGAGAAAATGTATAAAACAACAACAGACAAACATCAATGTCGACAAAATAGACGAAAAATTGTTTAGTAACAACAACAACAAACATACAACAATGGCGACAGATCGAGACATAACAATAACTATATTACAGGCCATCAGCATCTGTTAGCCTGGTGATAAACTGTCAGGCCCGAATTCACAAAGCAAGGTTTGAGCTCAGACCAAGGTTTGAGCTCAAACCTCCTTTTGTTTCGCCAAACCTCCTTTTGTTATTTTCAAACCAGGTTTGTAAATAACAAAAGGAGGTTTGGCGAAACAAAAGGAGGTTTGAGCTCAGACCTTGGTCTGAGCTCAAACCTTGGTCTGAGCTCAAACCTTGCTTTGTGAATTCGGGCCTCAGAGTTTCCGGCGATGCATCATTCTGCGTACTTTTATGGTCAAATACAACTAATCCTAGTTTCTCGTCCATCTCCATATCTCTACATGTTTTTTGATATTCTTCTTCGGAAATAAATTAAGGATTTTAGACGTCAAGAACACTATCAGGATAACAAAAAACATAATTAATCAATGAAACCTTATTTTGATTAATATTTGGCCAAAAATGGGAACAACTGATCAGATCGATCCCTCAATTCTCCCAACTATATAACACTTTACAATTAAGGTCAATGTAAATCGTCAAAAAGCAATAAAATGGCTTTATATACCATTCCAGACCTGTAAGTGTTGACAGATTTATAAAAGCCTGTATTGTGTCTTATTTTCATGGAAAACCGGTTGGGAAATTCAAAAATGTTCTAGAGAATTTAATGTTAGAGGATGCCGCACAGTGACGCCTTCAAAGAAAACCATGAATATCTTTGTGGTTAGAGAATTTTTTCAGGATTTTTTGCATGTTAGAGGGTTAGTACAGTAGAAGGAATGTAATAAGTAAAATTTTATACAAAAATTACGCAATTTTTCATCAACCTTCAACAATGTTACCTAGTCACGTTATCGAGTGACTCGGTAACATTGTTAAAGGTTGATGAAAAAATTGCTTAATTTGTATATAAAATGTTAATAACTATATTCCTTCTACTGTACTTACCCTCTGACATGCAAAAAATCCTGACAAATTCTCAAACCACGAAGATATCTATGGTTTTCTTTGAAAGGGGTCAATGTATGACACCCTCTAACAGTGATTAACAGTAAATTCTCCCAACCATTTTTCCAAACTTTTTTCCATGAAAAAAAGACATAAAAAGGGCTATACAAAATCTGTCAACACTTAAATGTCTGGAATGGAATGTAGAGCCATTTTATTGCTTTGTGACGATTTACATTCACCTAAAATGTAATTAAATTGTAATAATATAGTTTGGAGAATTATGGAATCGATCAGATCAGGTTTTCCCAATTGTACCATGAATAATGGTCTGTTTTCACTCAAATTTTCAGATTATCTTTAATTGTACATCTAGCATTGAAGTCACTACCTTAACACCACTATCGCTCATCTGAACAATGTTACCAATTCCCTTTAAACAGTGAAACTCTCTCAGTATCAAAAGTCTTTTTTGAGAGGCCCTGATTGGTTATATTTCAAATACATGCACATCGTATCAGGTATTATTTGTTTTTTGTTATTTTTGCTTTTATACACCATAATATAAACATGAATTAAGAAGATATTTGACCAAATCGTTTATCAGAACATTTAAGCGGGAAAGCTGAAATACTCGTTTGATTTGTTATTACTAAAAAGGAGAGTCTCTCGGATATCGAAAAAAGTGTGCTTCTCCCAACTTCTATCACAAAGGTTTTTCAACGCAGACTGGATCTGGGAGACGATCTTACGTACTTTTCCGGTAACATGACGGCTTACAAGCATGGTTTTGGTAGTTTCGACGCCGAACACTGGCTAGGCAACGACAAGCTTCATTACCTGACGAACCAAAAAGCGTACGAACTACGGCTAGACATTAAGACGTTCCTGGTGAAGAAGGCCATATACGCTCGTTATCGTTACTTCGCCATCGGCAACGGGACTAGGAATTATACACTGACAGTCAACGGCTATTCTGGTGATGCAGGTATAGTGTATGATAGTCATCATAGTAATACTAATCATAATCATAATAATAATGATAATGATAATAAAAATGATTAAACAAATAAATAATTATGATTATAATAACAATAATCATAATGATGACGAAGAAGGAATGAATGGAGAGTACGGGATAAGGTTGGGTGTGGGTAGGGGGGGGGGGTGGTAGCGTTGGTTAGTCATCTGTGCCAATGAACAACGGATATAGGAGGGGAAGAGAGAGAGAGAGAGAGAGAGAGAGAGAATCTGGACAGGGGAACACTGTTAGTACTCCCAGATTTCAAATGTTTATGTTCCATCTTAAGTAACATGTTTACCAACGCGTTTTATCTCACAGGTGATGTTTTATCAAGTATCTCAGGCCGTCCCTTTTCTACCCATCGCCGGCAGTTAAACTGCCATGGTGGATGGTGGCGCAATCCCTCGGAGACATGCACCCCGCACTATCATCTTAACGGACTGCGATTAATAACTATCATTAGTCTCAATTGGCCTCCCTACGGACCACAAAGTACTTTTGGATTGGGTTTCGAATCTGTCTCGACATCCGAGATGAAAATTCGTCCTGTTTAGATTCGCCATCATATCTCCCGACCCACTGATCATTGTTCAACAGGGGGAGGAAAGGTTGGAGATGGTTACGGACATCGAAGTTCGTAGACTAGTTCACAGTGTGCAAGGAGGTATTGAAATCATTACCGAAAACTAGTTTAGATTTTGTTAGTTTTTAAACATTTTGTCTTCTTCTTTTATCATCTTTGTCCTTTGTCATTAAACGCATCCCAACACAGCGCGATCCCCGAAAGTACACCCGTCGAGGGTAAGAATGGAGGGACTGTCTCTTTTTTTAGCGTATAGGGAGTAGTTTCTCATCTGATTCAGAGCCAAGTATATACAGAGTTTGGCCAAATTGGTTTCACTGGGTCACAACATGGCATATATTATTTTGTGTTGTGCTTGTCCAACATAGCAGTACTAGTCATTATATAGGCCCGAATTCACAAAGGAGGTTTGTCGACAAACCGAGGTTTATGTGCGTCATACGTCGCGTTTCGACGCGTTTTTACAAACCTTGGTTTGTAAAACACAAAAGGAGGTTTGTCGAAACAAAAGGAGGTTTGTCGACAAACCTCCTTTGTGAATTCGGGCCATTGTGTCCAACTCGAACCGGATGCCTCTGATCTAATTGAGCTTGTGACGGGGAAACAGTCCAGTCAGGTGACTTTATAAACACCAGGAAGGCAATGTAGCTTTCGTTGAAAATCTTGATACTAATAAGCATTATCGTTTGACACACAACGCATGCGCTTATTTCTCATCTGTAAGAAGGAAACAAATGTTTGTATGAGCCAGAAATTATGTGATTCTACCCTTTTTTTAAATATTTTTTTAAAATAGATATCTGCCTCCAGGACTAAAAGGATATTAGGAAACATTGTATTTGAAGAAGAAAATGCTTTTAATTTCCGTCATATGCACACCGTCTACCCTTGGCCAAAGGGGTCGATTATTTAGCTTCAAACAAGATATACATGTATATATAAATATAGGCCCTATACTTTGTTGTATTTTATGCCATAGGAAATCGTTACAAGAAACGAATCTATTTGTTTAATGCACGTATGGTATTCGTATTTGACATAAGGGATGTATGTAAGTACGTTTTATGGATTATGTTTTACTAATAGTTGTTATAATACCGGTGTCATTAAAGTTTATGCCTAGTGTATAATGTATAGTGAGAAAAGTGTCGTACTTAAAGTTCTTAAATTCTCTCATTTTTTCATTCATAAATTCACTCATTCATATTTTCACTCCTTCTTTTATTCTCTCATTCATTCATTCATTATTTTATTCATTCATTCATTCATTCATTCATTCATCCATTCACCCATTCATTCAATGAATGTTCATTCATCCATCCATTCACTCATTCATTCAATGAATGTCCATTCATTTACTTATTCATCATTTAGAACGTGTATCTGACGTTTAAGCTGAAGTCAAATAAGATAATTGAACTCCACAAGAATAGGCATAGCCTGGGTAACTAAAGGGGCCATACCCCGTATTCATCCGCAAGAGACGGCTATCCAATGAACTTACAGGTTTAGGTTCTTAATCCTACTCCTTTAAGTCGGGTCAAATTAGGGTTTGACCCCTCAAAATTGTAACACAAGTTTTTTCAACGGTTTCCAGTATTGTTTGACATCGGAAACAACATACTAAATATCTAAGAACATCCAAGTCCAAGACCTTAAAACGGCAATAAAACATGATATATCCATCTTTACGATATGATTTTGGTGCCTTTACCATGGTTTTGGGGTCGAATAATCCATTCATACCACTTACAATGGCTATGGCTACCAGGTTATTTGGAAATCTAAGATCGCGTCCAAAATGGCTGCCAGTCTCATAGCTATTTACAATAAAGCTATAATAAGCCATAGTAAACTATGTTTTAGCGGCCAGGATGTTAACTGTTAAGCCTTAATTTAACATAAGGGTTTCAAGTAGCTTTATACTCATAGCAATACAATAAATGACCGCCATCATGTATTCAAAAATGGCCGCCGGAAACGGAACTTAGCCATAGTTGTTATATATCTATCTAAGAGCTGTAAATTTGGCGTCTTTACCAATGTCGAATTAGGTCGAAAACCCATTAATACCACTTATAGTGGAAATCAAATGGCTGCCATTCTCCTAAAAATGACCAGATGTGAGCTACTCTTAGCAGTAAAGCTGTACTTAGCAAGATAAATGTATGAATTAGAAGCCAAGTCTTGGACGCTTTTTTGAAGCAAAAAATACACTTTCCGGGAGCTTGATTTTCTTAGATTTTTAATACTTTTTTTCCAACCACTACTGTAAACCGTTGAAAAACCTTTTGTTGCGATTTCAGGGGGTTGGTTTTTTTTCTCCCTATTCTGACCCGACAACCTCCCTCTACCACGTCATTGGACTGATATTGTGCGTCACCCCTTCTCACTGATCAACACGTCGTAATGCACATACATATCACGAAAACACGTTTCTTATTTATCTATACACGTACCTCAATTTTGCTCATAATAAAGATAAAGTTGAGTACTAGTCTTTAAAATCTAATATGAATTGTACAATTAATCAATCATTAAAACAAGACACTTTTATTTCATAATCAACTAAATATTATATAAGGAGGGCAATAGCATTCCCATGTCATTTGCTAACAAGATTATTTGCGTCAATTTCATACACTAACCAAGTTTAGATAAACTTCAACCCTTACCCATCGCTTAACTAACCCAAACCCTAATTCTAACTAAAACGCAATTGCAACCACAAGCCTAAGCCTATGGCTTCGAAGGAATGAAGTCCGGAGCAATTATCGCAGGAGAGAATGTCGTGTCGACGTGTTCTATATATCATTAAAAGTGTGCACCGAGTAATTGTTAATATTGTTATTATTGTTTTTGTTTTTATTTTCGCATAGGTGAATTAATTAAATTTTCATGCTTTCTGATTATTTACCATTGATTTGAAGTGCTTTATTGTCGTCATTTCATGGGGTTCTCAAGCAAGACTTTATTGTAGTGAATACAAATAACTTCAGTTCATTTCTAAGTTAAATCTATTTACCATAGACAAAATTAACGGAGAGGACCGAGATAGAAGCATCTTGGAACAAAAGAGTGGAACAATATTAATCAAAAGACTGACGGAGAAATATCCATGTTTCCTAAATAATTCACTGTATATCTGTGAGCATGATGTTATTTTATTAACAAGTAGGACAATAATATACGCTGAAAGAGAAGGTAGGAATCAATTAAGGCTCATAAAGATTGATAGAGAGATAGTGGGGAAGAGTAAGTTAGTAAGTGAAAGATACGTAGAGTGTAGATACCGTATCCCTTATACAGGACACAAGTACGAGGAATTTTTTTACATACTATGGAAGACTAAAGATAATACTCGTTAAAGAAAATCTCAGCAAAACGCACCTGTATTGGAGGCTCCCATTATTTATTACATTTCGAATATCATTGTGTGCGGATCGCCAAATATGATTTGACTAGAGGATGTCAATTATGAGGCTACTTGTATTAATTTACAAAATCTAATAATTTTCAGTAAATGATAAAACTTACCACCTTCTTCTCCAGAAGGGGCACCATCCTTCACAGACAAAACACACACAACTGTTTAATGAGTATATTTTTCCTTTGAAAACAAATTATTGAAAAATTTCAAAATGTTGTTTAGTGATTGAATTATAAAGGCCTTTTTAAGTAAAAGGCCAAATCTTATGAAAGCAAAGGATATTGTAAATTTCTTAACTGAAAGACAAAGTGGGTTCTGGTAATGCGATTTTATTGTGACAGAAACAGTGTGGAAGCGATTGGAAGAGGCACATGAGTATTGATTGAGGTGTATAATATAAGATTTTGGAATTGTCAAAAAGGTCAGGCGCGTACGCGGGGGGGGGGGGGGGGGGTGGGGGTTGTGGGTCGACCCCCTCAAATTTGTTAATGTTTGTGGTTTGGAGGAAACCCACCCTCAATTTTCTTTAAATAAAAAAAAAAGGTTTACCCCAAAAAGTGAACTTGCCCCCCCCTTCTAACTTAACGAAATACATGTCCGATATATATATATATATATATATATATATATATACGAAATATATGTCCTTTGGCAAGACAAATGGGGACCGGTAGGACGGAATTCCTTGAATGTTGTGTGCACCGAAATCGGTAGCCTAGCAGAGCCGGGGTAATATTGGAGCGCCTTGACTACCCTGCACGGTGGATATATGCGCTATATAAATATTCAATATTATTATTATATCGGTCTGGTAAATTTTCAAGGTGCTCAAAATATACTCATGAAACAATTGTGTATGTTGTGTCTTTGAAAGAGGCTGTCCCTTTTGTAGAAACTAGATGGTAAGTTGTAAGAGTAACAGAAAATTATTAGATTGTGTAACTTATTACAAATACATTTACAATTGACCTCCTCCAGTCAAATCATATTTGGCGATCCGCACAAAATTATATAGCTTTTACAGATTACAATTGTACAGTTAAGTAGAGAGTTTTCTCCATCTCTCTCTCTCTCTCCCTACCTCTCTTTTTTCTCTCTCCCTCACATCTCCCTCTCTCTTTCTCTCTCCTTCTCTTTCTCTCTCTTTCTCTCTCCCCTCTCTCTCTCTATCTATAATCTCTCTGTTATGGCCCTTGTTCGCAATCTGTGCAATATGCTGTGCAATCATACTAGCTGTCTATTAAATATACACTGTTGGTCATAATGATGGAATAATTTTTTTTACACCAATTTATGGAACGATTTTGACAATGATTTATTCCTAATAGATCCAAATAATAGTATACCTTCTCAGATGTGTGCTACTATGCTGATCAACTAGGGGACCCACGTCCTTAACTCATGACTGACAGTATTGAGGATTTATGCCTTACAAATTGGCACTAATATAGCTGACACGGTTTTTATCACGGGGCCTCACGATAGCAAGCCCATTGCTTAGCCTCTGAATCATGACTGTACGCAGCGGGGGCAATAAAGAAAATGCAATAAATTATCAATAATTTATTGCATTTTACCCCGGTCCCCTACAGGAAAAATTCCTCTGTAGGGCCATGTCTTGAACCATA